TGGCTGAATGGTTAGCGTGCGCGCGCTGTATCATAAAGTCTGTCATTGAGTCGACTGGTGTGATTTCGAATCCCCGGTTGTACGTGGCAAGGAGTAGGGTCGCCTGTCCAACCTCGTGGGTTTTCTCCGGGTCCTCCGGTTTCCTCCCACTGCTAAAGACCCCTACGCGCAAGCGAATTATTGAAATAAAATTAAACCATTTGTTAGTCCCGAAATGACCTTGTTTGTGTCGAGTGGACGTTAAACCCCATTTCTCTCTCTCTCTCTCTCCATAATCAACTCTATGGATAAGAACGCAAAGATTTAAAAATTTAATGATAAAATAGATAATAGAGTGTTAGTCTTGTTTGTCCAGTATATTGCAAGATAATAAACAATCAAATCTACACTCAAAATTTCACTCAGAATAATAAAGTAATTTGAATAAAATTTTAAATATATTCATTTTTCATTATCTATTTTTGAATAATTATAGCAAGAGCGATCAGCTCTTTATCTAAATCTTACATATGCTTCTTTAAAATAAACCCTTCATGATAAATGAACACATAATATATATATGTGTATCTAAAAATAAAAAATATGTACTATTAAGCAGATATTAAAAAAACTTCATGATAAATGAGCACGTAATAAATATGTATCTTAAAAATAAAAAAATATGTACTATTAAGCAGATATAAAAACCTTCATGATAAGTGGGCACGTAATATATGTGTCTTAAGAATAAAAAATATGTACTATTAAACATGCATTATGCAAGAGCAAAATCTGCTTATTACAAGTCTTTCTTTAGGCCTGAAATGTTATCTAAATTATCAATTAGACATTGATTAACTTATCCAGACCATAATAAACTCTCGATGTCAAGGCTAGCCTTCAATGTTGGCTGGATTAGATTCCTATATGCCGCTTAACTGCCATTGATAATTAAATCAAAACAGTGGATAATCGAGACTATACAGTTTATATTAATGATTTTAGTAATGATGACCGAGACTATGCGAAAATTTCACCCGCTTCGTTCTGGGCTCATAGTGGATCAATTTGACTGAAATTTTCAGGAAATTACCTTTACATTATCTAGTTTTTAACTATTATCGCGAGAACTGCCATCTCTTTATCTTATCTCCCATAATGTATCTTTAAGCAGATATATAAAAAACCTTCATGATAAATTGACTGGCTTATACTAAAAGACAATTAATTATAGATATCTAAAGCCTAGTTCACAACCCACCGTACCTGTAACTACGGGCAGTCTACGGGAGAAATTTGAGTAAACTCGTATGTGAGACTTAAAGGGCTAATCCCGATATTTTTTGGAGAATAAAACTGCTTAATTTTGTGTTAAAATCCCTTAAAATCCTCTAGCTGAGGGCCGATCAACTAACTCGATATTTGTGATAAGTTTTCAAACCATTTAAACCCGTCAGTCTTCGTCTGGAAATGGAGACCGGTGTCCCAAGCTGTATTTTGCGGTGTCTGGATAAAACCAGACTTTTATTTTATAAAAATAACGTGTAGTTGAAATTTACCTTTCGTTATCAAGTACAGCACATGGGTCATTCACTACATAGACCTCTCAAGGAACGGGAACTGATAATCAGGTCACCCAACGAAAAAACTGAACCGAAATCTTAAAAGGGTTACGTGTCCGGATAAGCAATTTTGACATTCACGTCCAAACGACTCAATAATTTGAGCTGGAATTTTGAGAGAAGGTAAATACCCCATTCCTCTATATTTTGGCGCTTAAATTTCATACATACTCCGACTTTTATTTTTGAGACTCTCTTGATATCGGGATAGTCCCTTTAAGCGCCACTTGCCAATGTTCGGCACCGTAGAGAGATTGCAGACTGGCCGTATAGACTTTTGCTCCTGCACATGCCAAATTTTTACTTGGTTTCTTGCGACTGGTCTACAGGCTACCAAACCCTTTGACCCATGCATCTCAAAATACATATGACCGGTTGTGATCTAGGCTTAAGACACATAGAGATGACAGTGTGAAATCAGTTAAAACCAATGTAAACTTCAAATGGCAATAATATAAGTTAGAATTGATTGATTGGAATAATTCTTTGAAAAGAATATTTTTAATAGAGGACTGTTGACTGTGTATGATCTTGAAAACTCTGTATTTAATTTTTATTCTGGTGTATGGAGGCTTTAATGGTCATAAATTATTATATGTGCCCCAGAGTTAATCTGTCTTCTTCATTAGCCCAGTCGGAGCAGAACAGTAGGACGTTACACCACATTTCATTTCCTAAGTTATATTGAAAAGGTTGGTGATCGTGATTTGTCCTCAGGATATTCTGTCATGGTATGCACTGGACAGTGATACAGGACGAATTGCCTCACAAGAACAAGTTTTTAGTTACAATCTGTATATCATTTAGTTTGCCTTTAATATCTGAAACAAAAATGCATTATTTTTTTACATTCTGTACATGTATTACGTTTTGAAAAGGGTCGTTCTTCATATGATTCAATGGAATCGCAATCTACACCACTTCATACTGTTTACATTCATTGATAAAACTACACAAGACTTGATAATGCAGTCTTAATAAATTGTATTGCACTGTTTATACTTGAATATCAGGTCATTACGTTCAAATTGCATAAGCTTCTTTTCATTTATTTTGAGTGAAGTTTGTTGCAGGCCTGGGACCTTACAGTGCAGTGGACGCTTAAGGCTGGTCCTCGGATCCATGGGAGAACCATGGTGGCTAAGTGAATAAAACACTGGCTTGCTAACCTGGAGCTCGCGGGGGCAATCCTTTTGTTGGCCGAGAAAGTTCATCTGGATTTTTCAGCGTGGTTTCCCCTTGTCAGTGATGCAGGATGGAGGACCTGACAAGGACAGTTGTCTAGTTATTCGGATGGAACAAAAAACTGAGGTCACGTGTACACATTAGCGTGCACGTAAAAGATTCCTTGGCAGTTGGAATTCGATATAAGAGTAGACCATAGCACCGCTGTCCACTCAAAATTTCCCTCATAGCACACTGTCGGAGCAGAACAGTAGGGTGTTAATGCCCCATTTCATTTCGTCATTGAGTCAACTGGCGTGGTTTCGATTCCCTGGTTGTACGTGATAAGGAATAGGGTGCCTGTCTAACTTCGTGGGTTTTCTCCGGGTCCTCCGGTTTCCTCCCACTGCTAAAGACCCGTTCGCGCAAGCGAATTATTGACATAAAATTGGACCGTATGTCAGTCCCGAAATGACCTACTATGTGTCAAGTGGACGTTAGACCCCATGTCTCTCTCACTCATTTCATTGCTGTATGGGTATTGTTTGTGTGTGGTGTGGTCATCCTGTATATACTAATGCCCTACGAATAACTACAGGTTATTACAGAAAAACTCTTTAAGATACAATTTCATATTTTTACGTTATATTTTTAAAATTTATTAAAAAAAAGCCTTAAAATAGATGGTATCCATAAACAGTCCTACCATGTTAAAGAATAATCCTATTAATCCTATAATTCACTATTGCCAGTTGAGAAATTGGCAAAAATATCATTTTCAACTTCAAATTCAAACGTTTGAAGATAGCTAATTCAATGGGGGTAATAGAATAACAAGGGAGGTAATTGTGTTATTATTTCCGAGGTCAAAGGATTTTTAAGAGGGAGAATAATACCTATAATCGTATAATAGTGAGTTGACAACCTATTGAGCAAAAGACATAGAAATAATTATGTTTTGACTTTCTTAGAAAATATGAAATTATCGCTTTAAGTACAACTTTATTCAGTTTTATAAACCTATAACGGTAAATCTCTTTAATCTTTGGGGTATATTCTATGTTGATCATTGGGATATATTCTATGCCTGGAATAACTTGCGGTCTGAAAGTCGGAGGGAGGGGGGGGTCTTTTTCTCAGGTTATTTTTTTCTCTCTTTCTTTCCCCAGCATAATCTCAGTCTCGTGCTTTATCCTACACATAAAGTTGCAGACAAAGTGACAATGATCTTTTTGACATAAGTTCTTTATTGTTATAAGAATTATCCAATATACCACTTATACCACATGTTGTCCACCCATCTTATAAACAATATAACACCCACACAAAAAGTGTTGAATATGTAATAAAAACAAAATTTTGAGTCTGTAAATCAGATAAACATTGATTCATATGTCCGGTAAATCTTGTGTATATAGAAAATGTTTATATATTATAAGGATAACAGTTTCTTTCTTCATATTGACATTCATGTTGGAATATGATGTATACATATACCAGTGAACAGTCATTCCGTTGTTAGCACACTCCAATCCTATCATACTTAATGTTGATTTAAATGGCAATTTTAAAAATAGGTGTTTTATTAGAAGGGATGTCTTCTTTTAAAAAAGGGAGGTTGGATAGCCGAATGGTTAGCTTGTGCGCGCTGTATCATACGGTCTGTCATTGAGTCAACTGGCTGGGTTTTCTCTGGGTCCTCTGGTTTCCTCTCACTGCCAACATATGGTTCAATTTTATTTCAATAATTTGCTTGCGCGTAGGTGTCTTTTGAAGTGGATAGAAACCGGAGGACCCGGAGAAAATCCATGAGGTTGGACAGGCGACCCTACTCCTTGTCACGTACAACCAGGGATTTGAAACCACGCCAGTTGACTCAATGACGGATGTTATGATACAACGCGCACGTGCTAACCATTTGGCCATCCAACCCCGCTGACTTTCTCCAAGAGTCACAATTATTGTCTTACAGTATAAATACTAAATTGAAACCACCATCTTACAGAAACTGACTGGCAGATATGTAATTTGATTTGTAAATGGTAGTTGAAATTAAGGACGTCTTATCCTGTTATACGTGATTAATTCCTCGAGACCCACTTAATGCCCTATAACATAAATACGATTATGTGCATGCATGGAAGGTGTGCATGCAAGGCAGTTATGAATTTACATCTTCTCCAAGTCTACAGTTGTTGCTTTATCTCTAATTTGTTGATTTTATCTATATTTCAGTAAAGTTGAGAACAAAGAAGCCATTCTATCTGAAGTTCAGTTACCTACAGCAGATGACCTCCTTGAACCCTTTCGATTTGAGCTCAGCACAGATAAGATTTTTGCTCCTAAGACTAAAGATATGGAACAGCCATTTTTTGTCCCTCCTAATATGAAGAAGACTCTTGATAGTAAGCTCTGTTTATTCATCGAATAAAAATATTTTGATAATAATATTGATCTTGATAGCAGAAGCTTGTAAATGAAATGAAATGGGGTTTAACGTCCTACTGTTCTGCTCTAAACTGGGCTATTGAAGACGTGTACACGCCATACAGTGTGCTATGAGGGAAATCTTGCCCAGATAGTGGCACTACGGCCTAATTTTATATCGAATTCCAACTGTTAAGGGATCTTTTACGTGCACGCCAATGTGTACACGGGACTTCGTTTTTCGTCCTATCAGAACGACTAGACAGCTGTTCTTGACTGGTCCTCCATCTTGCATCACTGACAAGGGGGAACCACGCCGGAAAATCTGGATGAACTTTCTCGGCGAATGCAGGGATCGAACACCCAACCTCCAGGTTAGCAAGCCAGCACATAGACAAATAACCATATGTAATGTCTCAAAATGACCAAAGTATACGGTGTTGACGAGACGTTCTTTTATTTAAATACCTGTAATAATATTATATTGTTTAATTTTTTCCAGTGAATGAACCAGAAGATTTGACCCATCTGGCCCCAACAGCAGGAGAAGGGTGTATTCCTCTTAATTTCCCCTCGTGTTCTCTCGGAGGATCAAATTCCAGTACGTATCTTTTTATTTTCATTGTTGATCAAGTTGTCGTCGCGTTAAAGGTCACCGGAAAAGCTTCATAAATTTTTTGAATATTGCAAGTACATGTAATTTTGTCAACATATCCTTTCCATAAGTATAACACGATCCTGAATGTCAATGTTAACTGCAACAGGTAAATTTCAATGTTGGCAATTTCCGCCGTTCTCCGTGAGTCGACATAACTTTCTGTCAATAATCAATCTGTGAGTGGTCATATCAGTCCTTCTGCTCGTAGAAATATAGACTAGATTAGGAGCAGATGGACTAAAATGACGTCACGGAGTGACGATAAATATTTCAAATTGAGTCTTAAGTCGAGTCTGTGCTAGATACCCTAGAGTCGAATGTTTTTCTAAATTAATTTTTATAAAATGATATTTTAAACTTTTTATAGGTTTATATGAGGGTGATAATATGCCACTGATGAAGGATGTACCATTTTGTGGTACTTTCAAAGAGGAACCAGACACTGTGCAGAGATCAATTTGCCGTCAAAAACAGAATTATATCTCCAGCAATAACGCTTCACCTATGTCACTTTCACCTAGGGTACGTATATATATGTCATAGGTCCGTCCAACCTCGTGGGTTTTCTCCGGGTCCTCCGGTTTCCTCCCACTGCTAAAGAACTCCACATATCTCTCTCTCTCTATCTCTCTTTCCCCCTTAGCTAACGTGACCTTCAGAGTATAATAATAATATGGAATAACTGTTTTGTTTGGTTATGTTTGGAATGACAGTGGTTTCCAATCTGGGATCTGTGAAAAAATAATGAGGGGTTGGGAAGGGGCTGTGAAAATGAAAAGGGGCCAAAGAGAGATATTGTTGGTATTCAGACAATGAATTGCAGAAACTTGTATCAGGCACCTGGGTGAATATTCCAGGTTTTTGATCTGAATGGTTCGACGTGGAAAAGGGTTGAGAATCATTGATGTATGGAAATAATCTGAAACTGAAATGGGTTTAACATCTTGACTTTTCTCCATCAAGGCAGGATGGCATGGTCCCTTATTGATTTCTGTAGCACCACTACTGAACAGGCAATCCATGTTGTAGTGAAGACATTCTAATTCAGTATATATTGCAGTATACGTTACATGATATAAGGGAGATTACTCTTTTTAAAGCTTTAACTTATTTCATTGAGATACAATAGAAATGAAATGGGGTTTAACGTCCTACTGTTCTGCTCCTATACTGGGCTAATGAAGACGGGCATACGCCATACAGTGTGCTATGAGGGAAATTTTGCCCGGGCAGCGGCACTATCGCCTACTCTTATATCGAATTCCAACTGCCAGAGGATCTTTTACGTGCATTCCAATTTACACACAGGACCTCAGTTTTCCGTCTCATCCGAAGGACTAGACAGCTGTCCATGTCAGGCCCTCCGTCCTGCATAACTGACAAGGGGGAACCACGCCGGAAAATCTGAATGAACTTTCTCGGTCAATGCAGGGATCGAACACCCGACCTCCAGGCTAGCGAGCCAGCGTCTTACCCACTTAGCCACGTGATCCCCCCAATAGAACAGTCATTTGTACATATATAACTGATTCTCATAGACAAACATCAGTGTATCAGCGTAGATGTTGGTGTGCATGTAAAAGACCCTTTGAAAAAGAACCATTGTCAAGTTAACATAAGGCAAACAGTTTTAAGTAACTTATGTCTGAGTATGTTTTGTGAACTCAAGTTTAGTGTATCAGTGTAGAAGTTGGTGTGCTAATGTAGTGGACAATTGACAAGTGGAATTCGACAAAGAGTAGGCAGAAATACTACTCTCCAGACAGGGGATCACGTGGCTAAGTGGATAAGATGCTGGCTCGCTAGCCTGGAGGTCGGGTGTTCGGATGGGACGAAAAACCGAGGTCCCGTGTACACATTGGCGTGCACGTAAAAGATCCCTTGGCAGTTGGTCGTAGTACCGCTGCCCGGGCAAAATTTCCCTCATAGCACACTGTATGGTGTATGCCCGTCTTCATTAGCCCAGATTAGGAGCAGAACAGTAGGATGTTAAACCCCATTTCATTTCATTTCATTTACTCTCCAGACAAACTTTCCTACACTGCATGTTCCTGTTTACATCAGCCTAGTTCCATCCTTGTGGGGTTTCTCTGGGTCCTCTGGTTTCATCCCACTACTAAAGATGCGTAAGCGCAAGCGAAGTTTTGAAATAAAAATTGAACCATATCTCTTTTATTTTATTAGATTGGAAGTCCAGAAGATTATAAAACAATGGCTAGTCCAACATCAGTCGATATTATGGAGAGATTTTTTTCCAGTATGGATACGAAACAAACCTTCCAAACGAAACGCAGACCTAAAAAGCCAGAGGTAACAAATCCACAGAAATAACTATATCACAAATTAAGCAAGACTTTTAAAATGGTTTCTCTTGTTTTCTCTGGGTCCTCAGGTTTCCTACCACTGCTAAAGACCCCTACGCGCAAGCGAATTATTGAAATAAAATTGAACCATATGTTAGTCCCGAAATGACCTAGTTTGTGTCGAGTGGAAGAAAAACCCCATTTCTCACTCTCTTTTTCTTTATGAACAGCCCGAGAAAGTTCATTGGGATTTTCCGATGTTGTTTCCCCTTGTCAGTGGTGCAGGACGGAGGGCCTAACAAGGACAGCTAGCTAGTCTTTCGAATGAAAGGGAAAACAAAGTCCTGTGTACACACTGGCGTCTACGTAAAAGATCCCCTGGCAGTTGGAATTCGATATAAGAGTAGGCTGTAGTGCTGCTGTCCGGGCAAAATTTCCCTAATAGCACAATGTATGGCATATGCCCGTCTTCACTAGGATGTTAAACCCATTTCTTTCATTTCATTTTATGAATAGCTTACTAAGTTAGATCTTAAACCACACAGTTGGATGTTCGGTTAGCCCATGTAAAATCTGTCAATATCACTATCACTACTTAAACATGCAAGAGGTAAATCTGTCTATTGCTTGTTCTTTCTTTAGGCCTGGATTTAAATTCTAATCTTCCAATCTAATCTGTTTCAGTCTGAAATGCTTCAAAGAGCACCATTTATACCAATGAACTCCGAGGAAGATTTTAGTCTAGTTCCACCATCAACATCAGATCTTTTCACCCTACATAATGATTTTAATCCTGGGTAAGATTCAAACTATTCGTCAAGGTTCAATCTGTCCATACATTAAGGTTCAATCTATCCATCAAGGTTCAATCTATCTATTCATCAAGGTTCAATCTATCCATCAAGGTTCAAGGTTAAATCTATCCATCAAGGTTCAAGGTTAAATCTATCCATCAAGGTTCAATTTATCCATTAAGGGTTTAAAGCAAGAAATGGTGATTTTGAGCTCTCACCGTGTCCTGGGCCCTGTTTCACGAAATTTTAACTAAGATAAAATCGAAATTTTAGTAATTTGATTGGATAATATCATATTGATTTTAGAGCTTAGCCAATCAAAATTGAAGTATCTACTAAAATTTGGATTTTATCTTTAGTTAAGATTTTGAGAAACAGGGCCCTGAATTGTAAAATAAAGACTATACTGCAATACAGTGTCTTTTTATACCGACCAGTTGGGGAAGGGGTGAGCGGGATGAATTGTTAACAAATTCACATTGGATCAGAAGGTGTGTCATTGAGGTAATTGGCATAGTTTGATTCCCCGCTTGTATGTGACGAGGAGTAAGTAGTCGCTGGTCCAACCTTGTGGGTTTTCTCCTTGTCTTTCGGTTTTCTGCAAAAAGACCCTTAAGCACAAGTAAATTATTGAAATAAAAATTTAACCATATGTTAGACCTAGTATGTGTCCAGTGGAGGTTAAACTCTCTGTCTCTCTCTCTCTGTCTCTCTCTCTCTATCTCTCTCTCTCAATAGATGTCATCTATGGAAACTGTCAATCAGTGTCATTGTATCGTGTTGTTTCTTAAAATCTTTTAGATTGTTTGGAAGACAGTATCCTCCCAATCCTAAAGACCCCACCCAAAAGTGAATTATTGAAGTAAAATTGAACCATGTTAGTCCCAAAATGACCTTGTTTGTGTCGAGTAGACACTAAACCCCATTTCTTTGAAAACTGTCAATCATTGTAATTGTTTCTTGAAATCTTTTAGATTATTTGGAAGAACTGAAAGTGTCTTTATGCCGAAAGAAGCGATATTTGAAGTGCCTCCACAGCCTCGAGTTAGACAGAACTTTCGCGACATGATGGGAGAGAGCACAAGCATGGCCAGCATGGAACAGCCTCCGAGTACCCGCCCAATGCAGGTCAAACGGCCACATGATATGACAAGCCTGGAGAAAGGTCCACCACGTGTGAAGAGGATACGCACTGATCAACCTGTGGAGTTAAACGCTTCACCATTGTTAGGTCAGTTTGAACATATGTGTGAGTTTTAATTAGAGATTTTAAGCATGCTGTATTATTGCATGGTGGAGAGATGTCAGAGTAGTCTTATTTGTCCGTTCAGACGTTTATATTTAAACGGGGAGTCACAGTGGTTAAGTGAGTAAGATGCTGGCTCGCTAGTCTGGAGGTCGTGGGTTTTAAGCATGCTGCATTATTGCATGTTGGAGAGATTTCAGAGTAGTCTTAATCGGCTGTTTAAACGCATATATTTAAACGGGGAGTCACAGTGGTTAAGTGAGTAAGATGCTGGCTTGCTAGCCTGGAGGTCGTGGGTTCGCTCCTCAGGATTTCCCAGGGTGTTTTCCCCTTGTCAGTGTTGCAGAACGGAGGGCCGGATAAGGAAAATTGTCTAGTCGATTGGTTGGAATGAAAAACAGAGGTCCCGTGTACCCATTGGCGTGCACGTAAAAGATCCCCTGGCAGTTTGAATTCGATAAAAGAGTAGGTCATAACACTGCTGTCTGGGCAAAATTTGTCTCATAGCACACTGTATGGTGTATACCAGTCTTCATTTGCCCAGCCGGAGCAGAATAGGACATTAAACCCCATTTCATTTCGTTTATATTTAAACTTGTTTAATAGAGCTGTTTTGTTTTAATACAGGATATTGTTGCGTTCACACATAACTTATGCCAAAACAGTTTAACTATTGTGACCTCATCGGTTCAACAGGTTTAAATGTGACCCGTGGAACAAATTTCAACAAACTGACATGTGTCGATAATTCTTAGAAACTAGCAGTAGAATCGTTTATTATTGTTTTCGGGTTTCAGTAAAACTCTGACTTCTGTGCCGTAAGTCATAGATATTTAAGTTGTATGTAATACAAGAGAACATTGTGTTCAGTATTATATCTTGACAATTTGGAAACCAGTCTAAAAAATTACCTGGTTCAAGGACGTTTGGCTTTGTTTTTAAAATTCAGTAAAGGTCAATATATCTCCAGCCCACTTACATATCTGAGTTGTTTGTAATACAAGAGTATGTTGTGTTTAATATTATATCTTTGCAATTTGGAAACCGGTCTCTATTGTATCACATTATAATATGTAATGATTTTAGTCAATTAAATCAATAAAACTTTCTTTATCTTGATATTTTTGTATATCTTTGACCTACTTGATGTAAAATTTTAGTTTATGTGGCTCCTGAATCAAAATGAGTTGGACACCTCTGACTTCGAGTTATTGTATTCAAATTTCAGAGTATACTTACTCTTTTTAGAAAACCAAATTAGAATTATTTCTAATTAGATTTGGGGGGTTGGATAGCCAAATGGTTAGAACATGCGTGCTGTATCATAAGGTCTGTCATTGAGTCAACTGGCATGTGACAAGGAGTAGGGTCGCCTGTCCAACCTCATGGGGTTTCTCTGGGTCCTCCGGTTTCCTCCCACTGCTAAAGACTCCTATGCGCAAGCGAATTATCGAAATAAAACTAAACTATATGTTAGTCCCAAAATGACCTAGTTTGTGTTGAGTGGAGGTTAAACCCCTTCTCTCTCTCTCTCTCTCCCTCTACATGCAAGCAAATTATTGAAATAAAGATGAACCATATGTTAGTCCTTCTTTCTATCTCTCTCTCTCACACACACACATTAGATTTGAATATTTGTATCTTTTATTATAGATTTGAATATTTGTATATTTAATAATTATGTAATTTTAGGGATGAATGGTAACAGTCGAGATAGTGTATTATTAAACTTACTACTGACTGGTGAAGATCGTAGCCATGGATATAAGGTCAAATCACCATTCATGAATTTTAATGATGGGAGTGGTAGAGGTCGTGATTCAATCAGATCAGGAGGGCATGTAAGTTATCACTGTTAAAATGAACGTGACAAGGAGTAGGGTCGTCTGTCCAGCCTCTTGGGTTTTCTCCGGGCCCTCCGGTTTCCTTCCATTGCTAATGACCCCTACGCGCAAGCAAATTATTGAAATAAAATTGAACCATCTGTTAGTCCCAAAATGACCTAGTTTGTGTCGAGTAGACGTTAAACCCCTTTTCTCTCTTTCTCTGTTAAAATGAATTTTGTTTTAAATTTTCGAATAAATGGAAAATATTGACATTCAAGAAAAATTGGTCAAGATCATTAATGACCATCTTATTAGGTCAAAATTTCTTTCTGTTGATTTAATGAAGCAATCTTTAATTTCTTGTAATAATGTCTTAAAATCTAAAAAATGAAGCCATGGTGGCTTAGTGGGTAGGACGCTGGCTCGCTAGTCTGGCATTGGCCGAGATAGTTCATCCAGATTTTCCAGCATGGTTCCCCCTTGTCAGTGATGCAGGACGGAGAGCCTGACAAGGACAGCTGTCTAGTCATTCGGATGGGACAAAAAAATGATGAGGTCCTGTGTACACATTGGCGTGGACATAAAAGAACCCTTGACAGTTGAAATTCGTAATAAGAGTAGGCCGTAGCGGCACTGTCTGGACAAAATTTCCCTCGTAGCACACTGTATGACGTATGCCTGTCTTCATTACCCCAATCGGAGCAGAAGAGTAGGACACTAAACCCCATTTCATTTCATATTCATTACACATGTAAACATGGAAATAAAAATAAACATGGAAATAAAAATTACCATATGATTGTCTCAAAATGACCGAAGTATGGTAGGGGATGAGGCATTAAAACCCTGTTCCACTCCACTCCACATGTTCATTGAGTCAAGTGGCATGTATTATTATTATTATTATTATTGTACGTGACAGCCTCATTGGTTTTCGCTCAGTCCTCCAGTTTCCTCTCACTGCTACTGGACAATATTAGACCCCTACGCGGAAGCAAATTAACGAAATAAAATTGAACCATATGTTAGTCCCAAAATGACCTAGTTTATGTCAAGTTGATGTTAAACTCTCTCTCTCTCTCTCTCTCTTTCTCTCTCTCTCTCTCCAGATGTTTATTGGTATTTATTATTTTTATTTCAGAACCAAATATTAACATCATCACAGTGTCTATCGTACCTACTGCCTGGTCTAACACAACAAGACTATGAGGTCAACGCACCAATACAAAATTCAAATTTATTACAGGGAGCCGATTTATTACGTGCGTTAGACGTTGATGTACCAGGCTATAAGATTAGACCTTCAATACCCAATAAAAATTAACAGATTGTTCATACCGCATGTTTTGTTTTGTTCTGCCATTTTATTTTAGACATATATATATATATATGTATGTATATATATATATCTCAAGTTGTTGATGTAGCCATATAAGGAGATTTTTAATTAGACAAAGGGAATGTATTGTTTAAATTAGCACAAAATATCTGGGTCTCGGTTTCCTAGATAAAACAAGTCCATATTGGTTGGTATCAAACTTTTTTGGGATTTAATTAAAAGAAATGATTTTCTGTTTTTACATCATGAATAAAATTAATTATTTCAAAAATTGGGTTTGAATTTGGACTTGATTTTTTTCTAGGAAACATTTTTCACTTTCATAAAGCATTTCAGCTCATAATCATCTCTGGCATTTTCGAGTAAGAATTCCATGGAAATAATGATCCTAGTTGTATATAAGTGACAATATCTTTGTATCGGACAATGGACATGTATTAACGAAGTCAATAAAAATATCAAAGGGAGGTAAATTTGTGTTCGACAAAATGACAGAAAGCAGTGAAATTGTGAGTGACGTTGTCAATCAGTGGTAGGTGGTTTGTTTCCAAGCTTGTTCTTACTAATATTCCATTTATCATCTGTAATAAAACCAGTACTTTGGACCAGGAAGATAACATGACATCATCGCAGCCATCTTGAAATTGTGATGTCATATCAAAACTTGAAGTCTGTCAATCGATGCCAAGTTTCTAATAAATTTGTGGAGCCTTAGGCTTTTTTCGAAGAGTGACGACCCCAAGAATAAACACAAGAATAACAAATACTTGGGGCTCAGTTTCTCATCCCCAAATTATCATGCAAACATAATCTCGCAAACATAGTTATGAAATTTTGGGAAGTAACATCCATGCCCAGTTAGTTTCATATAATGACTACCCGGTACCCGATATATTTATCATGTAAATTAGTTGTATTTTGGATTTGCTGAATATATTCAGAAATTGTATGTTAATTATTTAAGTATGTATTTTGAATTTTGGTATGATGAGGTTTTACTTGGTGTGTGAACATTGGCAGTCATATTCTTTCCCTCATCATAATAGTAAGAAGATGACAATGCTTTCATTTCGTGAACACATTATGCAAGATATTTTTACTTTCAGGTGCTATAGTTCCTATAAAATTTTGCCCATATTTCAAGGTGCAAATTTTAAAAGATCATATTGTCCCCCGCCTTTCGAAGAAAGCAGGGGACTATTAAAATGGGTTCGTCCGTCTGTCTGTCTGTCCGTCTGTCTGTCCGTCACACTTTTTGGGACACAATAACTCTCTTCCTAATTGAGCTAGAATGTTCAAACTTGGTGTATGTGTTTATTAGGTCAATGCCTTGATGGAGTTCGAAGATGAGCATTTTCCACTTAGGGTAAGCAGAGATAAGCAATTTGATTGGTTGATGCTTTGGGGCACGATAACTCTCTTCCTAATTGAGCTAGAATGTTCAAACTTGGTGTATGTGTTGATTAGGTCAATGCCTTGATGGAGTTCGAAGATGAGCATTTTCCACTTAGGGTAAGCAGAGATAAGCAATTTGATTGGTTGATGCTTTGGGACACGATAACTTTAGTTCTAATTAAGTGAGATTGATGAAACTTGGTGTATAGTTTCATTACAGTAATACCTTGACTAAGTTTGATAATGAGCATTTTCTGCTCAGGGTAAGCAGAGCGATACGCAATTTGATTTTTATATGTGTCCTCTAATTATTTTCCTATTTCGGCGGGGGACATCAGCCTCACTGTTGGCTTGTTCATTCTTTATAACAAACCAAGAATAAAACATGAATTTTTCCCTAAAATTGCTGAATGTTGCCCAAAATTTTTCTTTGTTCTTCTAAAGCTGCGTATTTAAAATATTAAATAACTTTAACCAATAACATGTGAATGTGAATCTCTGGATAATTGATTTGTATTGTTATTTTCTTATTTTTATGAAGATCGAAAATCAACAACTAAATGCATCTACCATTATTTTTAATTTTTTAATTTTTCAATTTTAAAAAAATATCATTGAATGATGATTATTTAGTTCACATGAATTTTGTGTGGTTTCATTTACCATATTTATTTGGATTCATTCAATGGAATTTCAGAGTAAAAAAAAAGCTATATTTTTCGATTTGGGTTAGCAGTGTTATTTTAGAAAGTTTGAATTAGAAATTTCCCTTTTAAATATATTTGAACTTGATATATTTTCTTCTAGGCAGCATGCATGTACGTACAATAAATTAAGTCCATTTTCGTAGAGCATTTAGCCATTTACAACTTGAAAAATAATAGTACTATGAATTTAGTAAGAATACTTGATTTTGTTACTTTTAAGTTTATAAAAATCACAAAGAAAAATAATATTACTATGAATTTAGTAAGAATATTTCATTTTGTTTACTTTTAAGTTTACAAAAATCACACAAACAAAAATGGAACAATTCTATAGTCTTGATGGTCTGATTTCAATGTTTATTTTTCTATTACAGTTTTATGTAAAACAAATTATAGACATTGAAAAAAAACATTTTGTAATTCATGGCACACATGAAAATCTGCCAATCATGTGCGCTGAGTGTAATTACGCTAGGATATCCTTTTTTCTGTTCATGCTAGCACCTTGCCAGGTGTTAATTATATATACATATAATTTTGGATATGATTTGAAGTTGTTGTAATTCAGTATATTAATTCTTTTTTTTTTTGTAAATAAAAAATGTACTGTTTTGTATTTGTAGTACCAGTACATTGTGTATGGTTTATGTATCTTCCAGGCAGGCAGTACATAACATTAATAACTTTTTAAATTTAAGTTTAATTCTTATTCAATCGGATTAAAAAAAGATCTACAATTAGTTTAGAATTTCAAGGTCAAATGTCTAAGGAGTTGGAGTCCTAACTGTTGAACCCTCATTCAATAGATTAAAAGGAACATATAATAAAAAGTATATATCTCGTTGATACTCTCAAACAAAACTGAAAGCTGAAAGTAAATTAAGATCTGTCTTAATCCGTTTGACCTTTATTGTTATTTAATCAATTTTAACTATGTAATGATTAAAGGAAATATCGCAATAAGTAAATAAATTGATATATTTATAAATAAACATTGTTTTTGTTGATTTAATAATAATTGTGTACTGCCTAGCTTTTTTAGCACAAATTTAAGAGTATTTTACCCTCGACATTTTCTTTTCGTTTGATTTTGTGATAAAAGTTTGTTATTTTCTGATGTGGTTTTTGGTTCAAATGAAAAGAAGTCCCAGAGATTTGGTAAAAAAATATCTTGTTGGTTAATTGATAAAGTACATGTACAGCTACTATACAGAAACTTGCATTTTACATGCCACAAATACTGTGGATAATCTGTCGATCCCTAGAGATTTTCTGTATTAAATATTGTCTGTTAAAATTGAGCTAAATGACAGTAGCTCAATGACGGAATAGGCACTCTTGTGATAATGCACATATCTATAAAAATGTTAAAAGATACTTCAAATAGTTATTGAGGGTTGATAAAAATGACAAAAGGATAACAATAAAATCCACACAACAACAAAATCATTTTTTCTGGGATTTTGCTTTTATTGAGGATAAAAAAGACTTTCTGCTTTCGAATGTAAAGAGGGGGCTCTTAATTCAATTTTTTTTCTTGATTTTTCATTCAATTATTTTTCATTCACTTTGTCACCTGATGTACTTTCATTTTTAGTATATACCCACATTTTAATGTGGCAGTACATTGTATACCGTAATTTAAGAATTATTGAATTTGTTGAATATTATAATGATCAAAATAGAGCTGATACTTTAGAAAATAGGAATATGTAATACCTGTTGATTAGTCTGTTTTACCTGTGTCTAGTTTTGTCAGGTATTTGTTAGGTATGGAGACTCTATCTCTTAATCCGATTTAAAATGATCTCAATATTTTTGAGATTTGCTTATTAGTTTGGTTTAAAAATTTGTTAAGCTTTTCAACAGTTGGAAAATTACAAATTTGAAAAATTTAATTCTAAAATCAAAATATAATTTCCTGTGGGGAAATTTTAACAAGTGTCTTTAATTTTAAAGAAATATTCTATGTGATGAATTAATAAATGTCAGAGCAGAGGGATGTAAGAATTGTAGCCGATTTTTTCGCGAATATTTGTAAAGTTAACCAAAAGGCCACACCCATTTGATTTTCTGTTCTTTGTGGTCGTGAGGGGTGGGTGGGGGGTGGGTGGGGGGTGGACGCGCTGTATCATAAGGTCTGTTATTTAGTCAACTGGCGGGGATTCCCCTGTTAGTCCCGAAATGACTAAGTTTGTGTCAAGTGGACGTTAAACCCCAGTTCTCTCTCTCTTCCGCTTTCTCATGGTCGTGATAAATAAATAGCCCCTTGAATCACGTGAAAGATGTTTTATTTAAAATTCCAAACTTAAAAGGTTGAAACGAAAAGATTTTAAAGGGTCATTATGAGTGATTAGATAAAGAGTTGATAGTTCTCGTTATAATAGTTAAAAAATAGATAGTGTAAATTGAATATGCTGAAAATTTCCTTCAAATTGCTCCACTCTGAACCAAGATATTAGCTTTTCAATTTTAGGCTCATCATTACTAAAGTCGGTACGATAAAACAACAAAGTCTCGATTATCCATTTTTACGTTTAATTATTTTTCAAAAAATGTATTACAATCCGCTAAATATCGCAGGCTAGCAATGGCATCAAGAGTTGATTATGTTCTGGATAAGTTAACTAATGTCTAATTAATAATTCTGATAACATTTGTTTTGAAATTAGTCTTATTTCTGAATAAATAAGCAAAATTTTAACAGGTGTTCCGGAACGATCAGAAAATCAAATTGATGTGGCGTAAGTCTTGAAAATTTGTTGGAAAGTGTTTACAAATTAATAAAGTCTATTCTTTTATATTTTAGCAAATTCTATTGCCATTGAAGTTGGGCAAACCATTGCTCATTTATATTTTAAGATTATGTCTTTTCTTGTTTAGAGTTAAGAGAAATTTGTTAAAACTGTTTGTACATAAACTATTACATATTAAAGTACTTATATATTCTATAATTGTTATTTTCCATGTCAATATTAATAAATATATCACGATGTTGTTTTAACGTAGCGTAAATATATTATATATCATTAACAGTTTCAACGCCCAGTTTCTAGAAAAATAACAAAATTAACAAGTTGCTAGACAGGAATCCAAACATTTTCAGCAGGAGTGGGTCTGGAGATTTCAGATCTGGAATAATAGAACGATGTAGATACCATTTTCCACTATTTCGGGCCAGGACACCCCCACCCCCCCTCAGGACTCAGGACACACACCCCTCTGGATCAGCGCCTGAGTTTATAGATGATAATATTGATGTTAATGCTTTCAACAAAGTAATATCTTTATATGCACTAGGTTTTATTTTAAACCTTGAAATCTATAGTAATTCGTTGATTTGGCCTGGTTTCAAATACCATTTTGCAAAGTTCCTGCTAAACGCAAGAGATTTGAAAGAGAAATAAGATATTTTTCTAGGGATTGGGCCTTTTTATTTATCCACTATATTTGAATAATTGGGATATTAGAACTGGCCTTCTAGCCATGTATTATTCTATATTTGGATCATGTCATAATATTTTGTGTAAACGGACATTTAAGAAAAAAAAAACACATTTGGGGATGTTATTCGCAAAAACTTTTAAACTCATATATTTTCTCATGCTGGGCTAGTCTAAACAAGTGTTCCTGCTCTCTAGTAAAATGGCAGGAATAGTCTGATATGATCATCCAGTCTCTTAAATGACCTGCTCTAGGCCTCTGTGTTAAATATATTAGTTATTAGTTTCTGTGAGTAAGGCCTCGGCAATATAGAATGACATTTTGTGTGTGTTTTATAATCATGATACTTTTCATCAATAGAAATAAAATAAATAATCTTTTATTATCTTTGGTTTTTTGTTTGTTCCCTGTGTGAAAGGGCTGGGGGGGGGGGGTAGTGCGTGCAAGCTGTATCATGAGGTCTGTCATTGAGTCAACTGCCGTGGTTTTGATTCCCTGGTTGTACGTGACAAGGAGTTGGGTCGTCTGTCCAACCTCGTGGGTTTTCTCCGGCTCCTCCGGTTTCCTCCCACTGCTAAAGACCCCTATGGGCAAGCGCATTATTGAAATAAAATTGAACCATGTGTTAGTCCCGAAATGACCTAGTTTGTATCAAGTGGACTTAAACCCCATCTCTCTGTCTCTCTCTCTCTCTCTCTCTCCCAGCCTTGTGGGTTTTCACTGATTCCTCCCACTGCTAAAAACCCCTACGCGCAAGCGAATTATTGAAATAAAACTGAACCATATGTTAGTCCCAAAATGACCTAGTTTGTGTCAGTGGATGTTTAACCCCATTTCTCTCTCTGTTTATCTGTGTGAAATGGGGTTTCCTCTTATTTAATCATTTGGATGCGATGAAAAACTGAGGTCCTGTGTACACCTTTGCATACACGTAAAAGAATCTTTGACAGAAATGAAATGAAATGAAATGGAGTTTAACGTCCTACTGTTCTGCTCCTAACCTGGGCTAATGAAGACGGGCATACGCCATACAGTGTGCTATGAGGGAAATTTTGCCCGGACAGCGGCACTACGGCCTACTCTTATATCGAATTCCAACTGCCAAGGGATCTTTTACGTGCATTCCAATGTATACACGGGACCTCGGTTTTCTGTCTCATCCGAAGGACTAGACAGATATCCTTGTCAGGCCCTCCGTCCTGCATCACTGACAAGGGGGAACCACGCCGGAAAATCTGGATGATCTTTGACAGTTGCAATTCATAAGAAGAGTAGACTAGAGTACAGCTGTCCGAGCAAAAGTTATCTTGTAAACCGGTCTTCATAAGCCACAGTGGCTAAGTGAGTAAGACGCTGGCTCATTAGTCTGGAGGTTGTTTGTTTGCCCCATGGTGTTGGCTAAGAAAGTTCATCTGGATTCACCGACTTGGTTTTCCCTTGTCAGTGGTGCCGGACAGAGGGCCCGACAAGGAACAGTTGTCTAGTCTGTTGGATAAGTCGAAAAACCAAGGTCCCATGTACACATTGGCGTGAAAGTAAAACATCCCCGCAAATAAAACTAGCTTTTGAAATCCAAACCCGAAATGTTCTGCTATAGAATAGATGTCATGTAATATGTGCACAGTTAAATATGTTTAGAAAATTAAATTTTGATATGAGAGAGTGAGAGAGAGAGAGAGAGAGAGAGAGAGACAAATGGAGATTAAGGTCCACCCAACACAAACTAGGTCATATTGGGCCTAACATATGGTTCAATTTTATTTCAATAATTTGCTTTTGCGTTGGGGTTTAGCAGTGGGTTTTCTCTGGGTCCCTCCGGTTTCCTCCCACTGCTATTGAAATAAAATTAAAACTATATGTTAGTCCCGAAATTACCTAGTTTGTGTCGAGTGGACGTTAAACCCCATTTCTCTCTCTATTTCAAGCCTGAATTTTCTATTTTTACACCCCTTGTCAGTGGTGCAGGACAGAGGCCCTGGCAATGGACAACGTATAGTTGTTCAGATGGGATGAAAAAAAAAAGGCTACACAATGGCATGCACATAAAAAAACCTTGACTGCAGTTGGAATTCATTAAAAGAGTAAGCCACAACACGGCTGTCCATGGCAAAATTTCCCTCATAGCACACTGTATGATGTATGTCCGTCTTCGTTAGCCCAGTCGGAGCAGAACAGTAAGATGTTATACCCCATTTCATTTCTTTTTCATTGTTTACAGGAGGCCTCTGGATTTAAAAATCTTAGGACTGCATGAATTCATTGTGATCCAGAACATGTTTTCCCCAAAAATGTTTTATATTTTTATATCGAACAGCTCATATAACTTGGAAAGTTATATATTCCGATGAGGCAGCCATCTGTGGAGACCTGCTGTGAAGAAAAAAGAAAAAAAAATATAAAATGTAACAAATTTAGACTACCATTTTGCAAATTGGTTTTTTTTCTTGTGTTTTTTTTTTTGTTTTAATTTTTTGTTTTGTTTGTTTTTTGGGGTTTTTTTTTTGGGGGGGGGGGGGTCTATGCCTACATGGTTACCCTTTTTATAGATAATTACGCTCAATGAAGAAGAAAAAATTGTTTAATAAATCAATTTTCAGCGATCTGAAGCTATAATTCTCAATCTATGATTACTCTTAATAGTCGATATTCATGGTTTTATTAGCGGTTTGAGCAGACGATACTATTAACAATACCAATATTGAAAATCAATAAAGTCATAAAGGATATAGTGTGGTTCTATAATGCTTGTCACACCTTTCTTAAGCCGATTATAACAGCGATACTACTGTTCAACCATCGTCGATTTATCGACATGAAGAAAGATATGATAGCCCATTTGGATTATTTTCATATACAGTTTGTTTTAAAATAATAAAAAACAACAACGTGTAACTACCATAAATAGGTAACACAAAGCCCAGGTTTCGTTTTTATTGAAATTATTTGTAAAAAACGCGGTGCATAAAACATAAGTGTCAAATGAAAAAGTCTAATTCGTCTGCTAAATTTGACTTCCCAGAGGGCAATTGGCTTAGGGCAAATATGGCGGGTTTCGCACCTTAGCAACCATAAACACATTGCTCATGCACCCCTTCTCTTTCCCTCGTGTGTCAGGAAATGAGAATAAACAATGTAATAGTATTTTATTGACATTAATAATGCCAAAAAACAAATAATGGCGTCAACTCGAAGGATTTTGGAATAACTAAGGACTAAGACAAATAACGTGCTAAAATGAAAGGTGAGTACAGCTTATCTGCTGACTTGAAATATTTCACCAGTTACGAGTCACTATGAGATACGATATTTGAGATAATATTTATCCATGCTCCAGGCATTGCTAGGTATTATTCAACAACAGAATACTTCATTACACAGTATTTACACGCTGGAGATTATTTTTGTTATTATATCAATATTCAAAATGAATGATTGAAATATAATAATTTTGATAACTATTACTACAAATCAATGACCGAGTTTTCAGTTGAATAAGACAATAATAAGTTTGATAACTATTTAAAAACATAAGTTACCGAGGTGTTCGTACGATAAGATTATATCATAATTTAACTACTACTATTGGGCCCTACTGTCCTATGATAATTTGAATCATATATAATTGTTTCAATAATGTTGACAACTGTCCTATGATAATTTGAATCATGTATACTTGATTCAATAAATGTTGACAATTATCACTTTCCGATAACAATATGAATCATATATAGTTTTTATAATAATAATTTTGAGAACTATTACTCTCCTTATGATAATATGTAATTGTTATAATAATTTTGATAAACATCACTTCCTTATGATAATATATAAATTTATAATAATTTTGATAACTATTACTTTCATAAAACGTTACTTTAATTACTTTAATTAATATGAAATGTTGCTTTAATTAAAATAGTAATATGTATAATAATTTTGATAAACATTACTTTCTTATTATAATATAAAACATCACTTTAATTAAAACAGTAATTGTGTTCCATAATATGTGTTTGTGGTTATTACGTGTATCAATACCACTCAAAGAAGATAATATAAATATTATATAATTATTTTGTTTTAATAATTATTATTTTGTATTGCTCTATTTATTAATTAAAACATCCATAATACTATATATTCCCGATTTAATATAGGATTCAGAATGTTTAATTCGGTGCATGTTTGATTCCCGGTTCACGTATTAAGCTGTAACTTGCACTGATCCTAAATTAACCCTAAACGAACTATTGGCAATAAAAATAATAAAATATGTGATCTCTACCATAACCTGGTCATAAATATGAAAATGAAATGACAATAAATAAAGGATTTGTGCTTTTTTGGATTATTAGAACAAAGTTATTTTGTTTATTAGAACAATCTTATTTTGTTTATTAGAACAAACTTATTTTGCTCATTTGACCAAACTTATTTTGTTTATTAGGACATACCTAAATTTGTTAGAACAAATTTGTTTATTAGAACAAACTTATTTTGTTGATTAGAACAAACTTGTTTGTTTTATTAGAACAAACTTGTTTGTTTTATTAGAACAAACTTCTTTTGTTTATTAGAACAAACTTCTTTTGTTTATTAGAACAAACTTCTTTTGTTTATGAACACATTTATTTCAACACAAGGTACAATTTTATGGATACACAATTACTGAGTTTAATACTAAGCGATGTTTCAACGAATATACTCTCGTTTTTATCAAGCAAATCGCTTTAGTATTAAACTCATCATTTGCTTAATAAAGATGAGAGTATCCTCGCCGAGACATCGCTTAGTATCAAACTCAGTAATTGTGTATCCATAAAATTGTACCTTGTGTTAATGTGTTCAATTACTAAATGCCAATCAAAGAACATTTATTTCATTTATTAGAGTATATCTACTTTATTTATTAAAAAACAAATCTATTTTATATGCACTAAGTGACTAGGACCGATATGTAATATATTCCACTAATTAAACGTCAAGAGGATTTAATTAACATTTTCCATTCATGCACGATGTATATGGGTGTAGCCTATCAGGTGCAAACATCTAATTACGCCATATAAGCTTATTATATTATAGGTTTCCCTATATCTTCCATATACACAGTTAATAATAATCGGAGGTAATGTAGTTTAATTCAATATAGGTTATTAACACACGTTAGAACACGAGTGCGTGCTCAATAGAAGATTAATCTATCAACACGGCTCTCTTTTATATCACCAAGAAAAGAAACATGTCGTAGGATTAAGTTTATTATAAAGCACACACAATAGAAATGGTTTCTCACACAAATTAAATATGTTCTAACCTAGAATTAAAGAAAAATAAGAATTGAAAATCAATTAAATGTAAAGGAAACACGCATTAACAAATAACATTAATGGGTATTATCGATACAGTTGTGTTGTTATGAACTTTAATGGGTATTATTAATTCATACATGCATATAGATTCCATTAAGTTTAAAAATGGCGGGAAAACCTACGCCGAGAGCTGAGAAGCACGCGAGGAGGATTATCGCTTGTTTTGTATTAAAGAGTATATTTTTTTTTATTATCTCATCGTTTAGATAATAATCAATGTCAATATTTATCTTTCATACTGATATAGGCCTTTATTTATTTTTATTACTAATCTAAACTCTTCACGGTTATACGACAACTTCTGGTCGGGTCGGGTTTCAAATGTTCGTCTGTAACGTCTTTAAAGAGAGAGAGAGAGAGAGAGAGATGGGGTTAACGCCCACTCGGCACAAATTAGGTCATTTTGGGACTAACATGGTTAAATTTCATTTCAATAATTCGCTTGCGCGTAGGGGTCTCTAGCTGTGGGAGGAAACCGGAGCACTCGGAGAAAACCAACGAGGTTGGACAGACGAGAGAGAGAGAGAGAGAGAGAGAGAGAGAGAGAGAGAGAGAGAGAGAGATGGGGTTTAACGTCCACTCGACACAAACTAGGTCATTTCGGGACTAACATATGGTTAAATTTCATTTCAATAATTCGTTTGCGCGTAGGGGTCTTTAGCAGTGAGAGGAAACCGGAGGACCCAGAGAAAACCAACGAGGTCCTCATTAAAGCGAACACGCGTTTATTAAATTGAAATGAAATGAATTGGAATTTAACTTTTTACTTCCTGCACGCCATGCAGTGTGCTATGAGGAAATTTTTGTTCGGATAGCAAATGAATTGCAACTGTACACGTGACCGCAGTGTTTGCCCCTTCGCCCCCTTTCCAGGCCATCCGTCTTAGTCTAGGTTGTCCAGTACCGTTGCTACGATAATACAGATCTTCGCTACATCTTCAAAGAGCCATAACTTCGCCAGAAATTTTCAATAAATTCATTTTTCAATATCTGTTGTTGAATTATTAAAAGAAGAACACACAGTTCATCTAAATCTTACGCATAGGCTTATAAAAGTTGTATATTATGTAACATACTAAGAAGCTAACTACATTTTTTGGGCACCAACCTCCACCGCCCCCCCCCCCCCCCAGTCAAAAATTTCCCCGTACGCCTATGATCTTACGTCGGAAAATCCTGATGAACTTTCTCGGTCAATGGAGGTATCGAACTCGGGACCTCGCGAGCCAGCGTATAACCCAGGGTTAACGAAGACAGTAGTGTGCTTGCTATAAAGGAAATTATGCCCGGACAGTCATAACGTGATAAATGAATTCGTAATGATCTAATCTACACGATAATAACTCTAGTAAATATTTATCCAATAAAATACCCTATTTAGATTATGATTTATGTACTTTATGTATTTATTACAATTTCCGAGATACGGCTAATCATGGTAACGCGACAAGGAAAAGACGTCGTTGTTGTTCATATGGTGACAGGAAAATGAAAACGTTTTAATGAATCGTTTTTCTTATCGGAAGGAAAAGTTTGCGTACCAACTAGATAAAGCCTTCACTATGCTATGAGAACAAACAATGGACGGATTTAGATTAATTTATAGAACGAATCTATAATACTTTTAATTTGGGAACAAGAACACGTGGGCTTATTTTCGCCATTGGAACAAAAATACGTGAACTTTATATTTTCAATCCTGGAACAAGAAAGCGTGAACTATATATTTTCAATATTGGAACAAGAACACGTGAACTTTATTTTGGAACAAGAACACGGAAGCTTTATATATTTAATTTTGGAATAACACGTGAATTTTATATTTTTAATATTGGAACAATTAAGAACACGATATTTAATATTGGAACAAGAACACGTGAACTTTATATTTTTGATATTGGAACAAGAACACGTGAACTTTATATTTTTAATATTGGAATAAGAACACCTGAACTCTATTTATTTAATTTTGGAACAAGAACGCGTGAACTTTGTATTTTTGATCTTGGAACAGGAACACGTAAATTGGATATGCATGGGTGAGGTTACTGATATTCCGAAACTTCTTTTAGAAGACGAACAATATCTTTCTGATGAGGAATGGTTACAACTTGGTAAGATTCGGTAGATAATTGCAAAATATGAAGCTTATATGTCTCCTTTACGACAGGTAGATTGTCTTACTCACGGAACCAGCGCTACAATTTTGGCGGGAAAGTTCCGTCTTGCGGACCGCGCGATCGCCAGAATTGTCGTCTTTGATTTGGGGTACCACGAAACTGTCGTGTCAAGTTAGGCTTACTGTTACACTTTGAGGTTTAACTTTTACATGATGATTTAGACATCTTGGGCGGTTTCCATCCTTGTTCTTCTGTCAACACCTAGTTCCCGCTGGCCGTTCCTATCCGTCCCTATATAGCTGCAATATGAAAATACCGCCAAGGTCGTCATAAGCGTGGTGGAAACGTTAGATATGGTTCGGTGGTCTCTCTGGTCGCCAATGATCGCCGAGTCACGGCGTTCATTTTGAGCATGTTCAACCAAACTCAAAGGTTCTGCGATGTGACCTGGAAAGCTGTAAGAACGCGACTTTTTTCAAGTGCTTATAATTTTGGGGGCACTTCTCAAAGTTGTGTTCACGTTTGCCGGGGATCTTGTGTATTTTCTGGTTGCTGTACGGTCGCAGAAGCGCAGTAAGAACCTCACCCAGGTCTGACGGTGGCATAAAGGAACTAATAAACATCGTGACTAAGAAAATGACTTCCTTGTCTAATCTTTGGTGTTATACAATTACAGACTCCGACATAGTTTCTGCCTATGAACAATTTGGCGACCGGCTACGATTTGACTTCTGTTAGATCTTCTCCGACGATCTATTAAGATATTTCTATTTCAATTTCAATTTCTATTTCAATTTCTATTTATTTCTATTTCTATTTATAAATTTCAGTCCTTGAAATAAGCCCCGAGAACCTGGAAGATTTGCTGACCTATGATGACCTTTTCTTGGATTATTTCAATGCATTTTTAGCTCTGCCGGTAAGTCGATCATTTCTCTTTTTTATAGGCCCACATTTCCTCTGGAAGTAGACTATATTGTTGTCACAGGTCACAAGATGTAAACAGGCCTAGCGCTAAACCTAACCCTAACCCTGGACCTAGCCCTAATGCTTACCCTAACCCCATAGGCGTACGAGCCAGGGGGGTGGGGGGGCGGCAAGCTGACTTTTCGGGCAGAAGGGTAAAGTGAAAAAAAAAATTTAATTTCATCTAGTTGGCAAAATAAAGTGCCCGAAATCTAATAAAACACTAATTTTACGGGCTGGAATAGCAGTAAAAATGCATTTGTGGCCGTCAAAACCGGCGCTGCTGTCTGTAAACCTGAAATTTTTACGTGCATTTCTAGTTTTTCTTCCCTAACTGTCATTGAGCCCTAATAAAACAATAATTTTACTTTTCTGTTAATAGCAGGAAAATGCGTATGCGGCTGTTAAATTTTCAAAATTTTCTCCAAACGGTCACATCTTCGTGGACTGTAAACCATTGATCTTTTGATTGGAATTAGAGTCAGCCATCTTAATTAGGCTATATTAGACCACTTTGCAATTGCTTTGTTCACAGGCTGAAATAGCAGGAAATTATGTTTGCAGCCGTCAAATATTCAAAAATTTTCTTGGGGGGGGGGGGGGGGGCGGGGGTACAATACAAGGGGAGCTCTGCTTCTTCGCCTCTCAAGGAATATAGGCGCCGCTATTTCGGGCATTTCGGGTTCTGCCCCCCTAACTCTCATCGAGCCCGTATGCCTATGCCTAACCCTAACCTACAGACTTAACCTCTCCCCCAAATTCTTAAACCTAACCTGCAATCTTGCCAACAATCAGGTGCCCTAACCTTATTTACTACATCTCAGCGACCTTGACAAACATTGAGCTGGCCTTAACAAATAGATTTAGCCATCTGCCTGTCGCTCTGTCAACAATGCCTGTCGCTCTGTCAACAATGTATGTGAAAGCCCAGAACTCAACAAGTTAGAATTTTCTTCTGTTCTCTTGGATAGTTCATGTATCAGCACAGGTCCGCTAGAACGATATTCAACCCCCAGTCCCCAGTTCCCAAGCAACTTGACGAAGCTCCTGGAAAACCATGGGATTATCTTAGACGTAGTCAGACTTGGTTTCGAAATTCAGAGTTGGGCAACGATTTAAGGAGATGGGTTGCCATTGTGACTAAAACCTTGTGACAGCTCTATTTTATGAAATAATTTTATTAGCGTTTACTAAGGGCAGGGCTGTTGGAACAAAGGATGGGTGAGGGTGCAAACATATTTAGTTTGTTTAAAAATTGCCCCCAATACGAATATTGTCTGACTGGAGTGTTAGGACATTTTAACTCAGTGCTGAAGAACAACATCAAACTTGTTTGTAAGTTGCAGCCTGTTTTAATGGTGTATTATGCTAGAGCTAAATCTGCTTATTCGATGCCATAGTTCTGAAAGGTTGTAAGTGCCACTTATGACCCAAATAGCTGTTTTTGCATAGGATCACTAATCACATTGGGGGCGTCTCTATGCAAAATTTCAGAACTGTAAGGTTGTAACTTCCACCAAAAAAAAAAAAAAATGCTTTTAAAAATGTTAATATCCTAACTTCGTTTTTCTCTCATATCTCCAAAACTAAATCCATCATTTTTTTAGACTTATTATTTAGCCATGTATTCACATGTAATGTATATAATCAACTCTCTAAAACATCGGATCGCAGAGAATGTAAATGGATTAGAAAACCTGCGAGATTTAGTCTTATTTGTCCAGTACCTTAGCTACGATAATAAACAACCTATGCTACATCTTCGACCACTCACAACTTCGCTCAGAATAAAGAAATTTGACTTTTTTCATTATCTATTTTTGAACTTTTATAGCAAGAACAGCCAGCTCTTTGTCCAATCTGATTAAAACACAGATCCTATTTCGTTTCATTTTTTATAGTTCAAAATTTTGTTTTTCTTGCCTTTACTACACTAGGATCTGGAAGAGTTGTTATATAACCCATTTTCTGGCTGATGTGAGGGATTAACCAATGAAACGGTCTGTGATGGCGAGTTCTTGGCGTTTGATGCACGGAACTGTGGGTGAACCATTAGAAAAGTCAACACTGATTGATTATTCAATGTCTGACTTCATAGGGTCAAAAGTCGTTCGTACAACCTCAGGCGTGACCTTTTACTACAACCGGTCAGATCTTCATGTAGTGTAGGCCATCAAAAGTATAAAAACAACGAAACGAAATATATATCTGTATTTTAAACAGACTAATCTTTGTCTAAGTCTTACATAATGTATCTTTAATAAACATAACTTATTATGTTATTTTAGGTGTTTCCACAAGCATTGGCTTACAACAGACTAACGGGAGCGTTTGAAGAAGTTCCCTCACCTTATAATACAACTGTTGCCGATTCTCTTGGTTGCCCGTCTCCAGCATCAACTCTTCCTTATGGAGCAACAGACGCTGTTCGTGAGAATATGTTACAGTGGGCTAGAGAGGAGAGACTTCCACTATTTCTTAGGTAAGAATCAAACATTGAATTTGACTTTTTTTTCTTTAGGAACAAATATTACATAATATGTTTCGTATGCCTTCTTGAAAAAACACGATTTAAAAAGAAAATGTACTTGCTTGCTCTTCTCAAGGCAAAAAATGAAATAAAATGAAATTTTAACGTTCTATTGTTCTGCTCAGACTAGGCTATTGAAGACGGGTATACATCATACAGTTGGCTATGAGGGAAATAAATTTGCCCGAACAGCGGCCCTACAGCCTACTCTTATATCATATTTAGACTGCCAGCGCCAATGTATATACAAGACCTTGGTTTCTTGTCCCATCCAAATGACTATACACTGTGCCTTGCCAGGCCCTCTGTCTTGCACCACTGACAAAGTTGGAATACAAGATCAAATTTGGGACCTCTCGGTTAGCAAGCCAACGTCCTACTCACTGAGCCACCATGGCTCCCACTTTCAACACAAAAACGTGGACAAGACGCAGGTGGCTGTTCATTTATCAAGAATCCGAACAACTAAAAATTAAACTGGCTTGACCTTTTCGGTATCCCCAGTGGTATCGTTCTGTTCTACTCCACTAACCTCAGGGTGCATCCACAGGATTTTCATGAACTCAAATTATCTGCTCTTGGTCGTAGCTTGATTCTAAGAACCAATCAAAAAACAGTTTACATTGTTTATGTTCACCACAATAATCTTAGTTGCAATAACTTGATTGGTGGATAAAAATAGCAGAAGTATCAAGGGCAGATAATTTAATGCACCCAGAGGTTAGTGAAGTAGAACGGAACGATACCACCGGGGGTGGGGGTGGAGGTGGTTGGTCTAGTGGTTTAATGCGTGTTAGTGATAAAACCATAAGGTCTGCCATTGAGTCAAGTGGCATGGTTTTGATTCCCAGCTTGTAGGTGACAAGGAGTAGGATCGCCTGTCCAACCTCATGGATTTCCTCCAGCCTCCAGTTCCAGGTCCTCTGGTTTCCTCCCACTGTTAAAGATCCCTACACGCAAGCAAATTATTGAAATAAAATTGAACCAAATGTTAGTTCCGAAATGCCCAAGTTTGTGTCAAGGCTGTAGCACAACGGGAGGTTGGATGGTTGAAGGGTTAATGTGTGCGCGTTGTAGAAGACTGTCTGTCATTGAGTCAAGTGGCGTGGCTTCGATTCCCTACGTGTACGTGACAAGGAGTAGGATTGCCTGTCTAACCACGTGGGATTTCACCAGATCCTCCGGTTTCCTCCTACTGTTAAAGATCCCTACTCACAAGTTAATTGTTCAAATAAAATTGAACCATGTCTTAGTCCTGAAATGACCTAGTTTGTAATATCTCTCTCTCTCTCTCTCTCTCTCTCTCTCTCTCTCTCATTTTATTTTTTTTTATTTCAGCACCCAGTTATTTCGAGAGTTGAAGTTATGTAAATTATTATTGCGCCCATTAGACGACAGGAACTCGGCGAGTCGTGGATCTAGTCGTCAGATCCGAGGGTATAGTCGACAGTCTGAGAGTTATATATCTAGTCTAAGTTACAGCGGAGACAACAGCGCGGAGGATGAAGGCCTGGACGAAGATATCAACTGGGCAGATATGAGATATCATGAATTGTTCCGATACAGACGACCAGGGAGCAAGGCGTACAGTGACCCTATACGTAGATATTTAGGTGACTATATTTATTTGAAATCAAATATTGTATATCGGCATGGGTATACAGGCCTGTTTGATTGGGGAGCAGGACATTTTTGTGTGCCTTAATTTCTCTAATTTTACCAGAGTGTAGTTGGTACCAATTAAGCTGGATATACCAAAAAGTGAAAGAGAGGTGGTGAGGGTTGGATGGCCGAATGGTTAATGCGTGCGCGTTGTATTGTAAGGTTTGTCATTGAGTCATCTGCCATGGTTGTATCATCTTCAATAGAAGGCTTAATCTCGCCTTAACTACGTACATCTTATCAAGCCCTTCACGTAATACCCCGCATATTTTGGCACTATTTTTGATTGGGTATAAGCCCAGCTTGTGATCCTATCAGATTCCTTCGTTGAAAATATCGTTACGATTATCAAGTCTCGCGCTTATAGCTAAGATGTCTACATGTGACAATCAAGTTGCAAAGTTCAAGGTTCGATCAATGTCAAGGTTGCTGGAAATCATACCTGATCAACAAAGAGTTTCTATGGAGGACGCCATATTTGTTTACAGTGTGTTATGTGCGACGACCACTGATTGGACAATGCTAATTGATCACGTGTAAACACAACGAGCGCAAAATTTCAGGAATTTCCCAGTTCTGCAGCAACGGTTAGATGTTGTAAAACTCGCGATCGTTGCTTCAGGAACATGTGGTTGTATGTGACAAGGAGTAGTTTCGCCTGTCCAACCTTGTGGTATTTCTCCGGGTCCTACTTTTTCCTCCTACTACTAAAAACCCCTACGCGTAAGCAAATTATTGAAATAAAATTGAATCATGTGTTAGTCCCAAAATTACCTAGTTTGTGTCGAGTGGATGTTAAACCCCAATTCTCTCTCTCTCTCTCTCTCTCCAAAAAGTGACTTTCACAATTTTTTTTCGTAGTATATGAATATTGATGATTAATGAGATACCTGTTTGTATTTGACCTGTGGCTGCATGAGTATGACATTGGCTCACTAAGCTTGGGATCCGGTGTTCCGTCTCTGTGTTGGGATCCGGTGTTCCGTCTCTGTGTTGGGATCCGGTGTTCCGTCTCTGTGTTGGGCGAGAAACTTCATCAGGATTTTCCAGTGTGGTTCTCCCTTGTCAGAGGTGTAGGACAGGGGGCCTGGTAAGGGACAACTTATAGTCGTTTGGATGGGCCGAAAAACCGATATACTGTGTAGGCCTATACATTGTCGTACACATAAAATAACCCTTGACAGTTGGACCATAATGCTGCTGTCCAGGCAAAACCTCCCTCGTAACACACTGCATGGTGTATGCCCGTCTTCATTAGCCCAGTATAGGAGCAGAACAGTAGGACGTTAAACCCCATGTTCAGTGGAATAGACAGAAGTGCTGTGTTTGACCAAATTTCTGCGACCGTCTTGATTGAATTTGGGGTGTCCGCGCATTTCAGGTGTTAAACTTTTTGTTGTTAAGCCAGGTTCTATTTTATATCTAAACGATAAAAGTTTTTATTATAATTACAGCGTCTGCTTCAGTAACAGAAACCATGAAGAATACATCGTCTAATGCTCAAACATCAAGTAAATATACGGATGCCAGAACTTCTGCTCCGTTCGACAGATCTCAAACAGGATCCCCTGGAACAATTAAACGAGGAGCGAGGTTAGTAATTTTTTTTAAAGATTAGTGTACACAGTTGATTCATTTTAGCCTATCGCACAAGTTGTAGTGATGGTTAATTGTCGCCATATTTCCAGAAAAAAATTGCCTGTGTGCTCATTGTGACATCAACAAATATCGACTTTGGTCACTTGCGATAAGTTGCCAAATATGAAACAAAGCTATCTAATTAAAATACAGATCTATATTTCGTTTTGTTTTTTTATACCTTCGATGGCCTACACTACATGAAGATCTGACATGTTGCACTATAAGGTCGTGTCAGGGGTCGTACGAGTGGCTATGACCCTATGACGTTAGACATTGATTAATCAATCAGCGTTGACGTTTCAAGTGGTTTACCCACAGTTCCGTACATGGCATGCCAAGAAGTTGCCGCAACAGACCGTTTCATTGGCTTATCCTTCATTTCAACCAAAACGCCAGTAATATAACAACTCTTCCAGATCCTAGTGTAGTGAAGACAAGTAAAACAAAATTTTAAACTATAAAAAAAAGAAATGAAATAGGATCTGTGCTTTAATCAGATTGTGAAACTGAAACAAGGTAGATATTCAGCGAAAAAGAATTGCTCACCACTTAGAATTTGTACATCAATTGCTGTAAGCAATACTTTTGTTTAATTAATCCGAGAAGCTAAAATATCATGTGATCTTAGACAATAATAGCCTCCAAACTAACTATATAATACTGGGAACAATTTGAAGCGAAATGTACCTAGAGTTAAGGTTCACATATTTTGAAATATTGATTCATGGCATGAATATGTTTACTGTTAGTGATGTAGGATTGAGTTCCTGACTAGAACAGTGTCTAGTTGTTCAGATGGGATGGTAAAACGGAGGTCCTGAGTTTACATTGACATGCACGGAAAAGATCCCTTGACAGTTGGAATTCGATATAAAAGTAGGCCGTAGTGCCGCTGTCCGGGCAAAATTTCCCTCATAGCACACTGCATGGTGTATGCCTGTCTTCATTAGCCCAGTCGGAGCAGAACAGGAGGATGTTAAACCCCATTTCATTTTATTTGTTTATTTATTACAGAATTTCATCATTAGTAAAAGTTATTCCTGATGATGGTATGAAACAGGATAAAGGTTAGTTATTCTTTTATTTAAATCGGTTTAATGCGATTGAGTCTGTCATTGAGTTAAGTAGTGTTGTTTTGATTCCCAGTAGTAGGGGTGCTTGTTCAACCTCAGGTGTTTTCACCAGATTAAACCATATGTTAGTCCCAAAATGATCTATTTTGTGTTGAGTGGACAATAAACCCCATTTTGCTCTCTATATGTAATAATCGTAGTCATGTTAGTGGCAGATTTACAGGATGGCTCACTGGGGTCCCAAAAGAAAATGAACTTTTTAAATAATTAAACATACATTATGCAAGAGCTAAATCTCCCTATTGCAGCTCTTTCTGTAGGCCTGAAATGTTATCTAAATTATTAATTAGACATTAATTAACTTATCCAGACCATAATCAACTCTTGATGTCAACGCTAGCCTGTGATATTTACTGGATTAGGTTCCGATTTGGTGCTCAACTTTCATTCATGATTTAATCATGAAATGGATAATCAAGACTATGTTTTTTATCGTACCGATTTTAGTAATGATGATCGAGGCTGGGCCGAAAATTCAATCGCTAAAATCTTAGTTCAGAGTGGATCAATTTGACTGAAATTTTCAGCAAATTTCCTTTACATTATCTAGTTTTTGACTATTATAGTGAGAACTGCCAGCTCTTTATCTTATTTCCCATAATGTATCTTTAATCTATCGTTACTCAAAAAAGGTATAATGTTACTTTTAATTAGGAAGCAAAAGTTATTCATCCAAGAAAACGAAGGGTCCACCAGTTACGTCATCGACAGAAGCAGCTTTTTTACGTGGAAGCAGGTGAGTGTTGGACAATAGGACCCACAGGGGATCAGTAGATAAATATAATAGGAGCCACGTACAGTGGCTCAGTGAGTGAACTCGATAGGGGCCACATACAGTGGCTCAGTGAGTGAATTTGATAGGGGCCACATACAATGGCTCAGTGAGTAAATACAATAGGGGCAAACAGGGACCCAGTGGGTAAAATAGAGACCATAGGGGCTCAGTGGGTAAATATAATGGGGTCTGCAGGGGTTCTGTGAGTAAATACAATAGGGGCCACATGGGCTCAGTGAGTAAATACAATATGGTCCACAGTGGCTCATTAAAGCACTGGTTCACCAACTAATTTGACCCCACTTTTTTCCATTCTGGTTGTCCCCTTCTTAATTGTACAGGACGGAGGACCTGGCAAGTTAAAGCATCTAGGTGTCTCCACCTGTGTTCTGGTTGCTATGCATGCATGTGAAAGAACCTTTTGATAAAGAGAAGGCAAAATAAAAACTTTGCTGTCAAAACAAAATTCCCCTCAAAACACATATGGCTCATCTTCATCAGCCCGGGCAGGAAGGAAGATATGGCCGGAACAACATCTAGTCATTTGGAGGTTTGGGTATATATTGACGTGCATGTAAAAAGACCCTTGTCAGTTGGAATTCAAATTAAGAGTAGGCTGTAGCGCTGGTGTGGGGATACAATCTCCCTCATAGTACACTGCTTGACTCCATTAGCCCGCTTAGTGCAGAAAAGTAAACCCATTTCATTTCATTATATTAGCTCCAGGTGATCAGAAATTTCATTTCATATTTGTGTCTGATAATGTCTGTGACAGGTGCTAGTTATATTAACCCAAGTTCTTCTCTCTCCTTTCTGACGTGGTTTCCCCTTGTCAGTGGTGCAGGACGGAGGGTCTGACAAGGACAGCTGTCTAGTCTTTCGGATGGGACAAAAAACTAAGGTCATGTGTATACATTGGCGTGCATGTAAAAGATCCCTTGGCAGTTGGTATTCGATATAATAGTAAGTCGTAGCGCCGCTGCCGGGGCAAAATTTCCCTCACAGCACACTGTATGGCGTATGCCCGTCTTCATTAGCCCAGTCGGAGCAGAACAGTAGGACGTTAAACCCCATTTCATTTCATTTCAGAGTTTTATCAGCACCTGTTAATTACGAAGATTTCATCAAGATGCCGTTCTTCCATTTCGATGCCTTATTACGGGAAGAACCAGCCCCTACTGGTGACCCCTATGTAACGTTTAATGATGATGATGCCGTAAGCGAAGCGCAGACAGAAACTGACGTACGGAATATGGAAGGTCGATTAAAAATGACGATACAACAAATGAAGGAACAAGTTATAGCTACAGTAAGTTTCTCTATGGTGGCTTCTGGGATATGTTTTTCTTTGTTCATTACAAATGCTGCCTGAAATAAGTATGTCCATAGTATCAGGGATGGGATTTCGCCCGTATATTCCGGACTTGTCTGATGCTATTTTCCAAATGTCCAAAATTGCCTGAACGGGAATATGCCCAATCGGACATCAAGACATGGTGAATAATATTCAAAATTCCAAAATTAATATAGTGTACTGAGTGTATAACTATCACTCAAACCTTGATAATAGGCTGCATTGATTAGGTAATTAAGTGATTAACATATTGATTGTGTTATACTGTCTATACGCATACCTTGATTAACTACTTAATCTGCCATGATTGACTGACTTAATCCTTTGTCGGACAATTCATCAATCTAATCTTAAACAGAAGTCATTGCTTCCTATTTCTATTACGCACAGATTTTAATATTTTGTTGACATTTTATGATAGTACTGATTTTAAAAGGTTCATTGTGTCTTAAATATTGGATATTAAGATTCCATATTTTCATAGTAAGATACCAACATAAACATTGATTTAAAGATAGGTTCCCAGAAAAGTATTTATCGGGTGGTTATTTCCAATAAAAGTATGGCAATTTTGGTATATATGGAAAGTAGAGATATCCAATCTTACTAGAAAAATACTGGATTCCCTAAAAAACACCCATGGAGCGTATTCAGGACAAAAATGTCAGGATTCCCCTAATCGACAGCCCGATGATTAGGAATATCTGCACGCGTGACATCAAAGGTTGCACGCGAAGATTGAGCGTTTAATGTACATGTTGATAAATTTTATGAAGAGTTAAACACTTTCTGAGATAAAAATCACGGAAAAAGACATGGGCAGTGGATAATCTGAGAATTTAATTTGGATTCGATATTTGTAATAAATAGTCAGCAATTAAAGACAACACCGTCTTGTGTATGAAATGAATTCTCTTCTGACTTCGCAGCTGTAAGTCACGTGACACAAACATGACCTCTTTTGATCAATTTTTTTATAGCAAGGGTATTCCTTGACAATTGCAATGCTTTGAGAAGGATTTGAAGCAAATTTATGATAAATTATTAGTTTGAAGATGTTTTTAGGCCAAATATATCATCAAATCACCCATTTTGTACATGGGAATGTATCTTTGGACCAATATTAAATTCTAATTCATATTTTTAATTTCGAATATTATGGAAGATATTGAATTGGAGGTATAGCTCCTTTAAAGAAATATTTTTTAAATAAATTTTGGTGAAATTCAATTTTTTATATTTTGAAATTACTGTTTGTTTTTTGCAGTATTTTGAAATGGAATTGTTATATTTTAAAATATTTTTTTGTTGTTTTACAGTATGTTGGAATGGAATCATTTAAAGAATTTTTAAAAGACACAGCTGGTGTCCATCTTCTGAATTTCTGGTTAGATTGTGAATATTTTAAAGATTCTATGGAGGACTATGATGAAGAGGAATTTATAGAAATAAGAAACTGTCTGTTTAGGTAAGGAAGATGGGGGGGGGGGTCGGTTTAAACTTCAAAATGGCTAAAAAGGGGGAGGGGTTAAGTGGTATAACACGTCCTTACAGGCCTGGGTGTGTACAGCGCAGTTGACACTTACGACTGGGCCCTGGGTCCATTCACTTGATTTGATATTTGTTTATTATTTGCAATGTCTATATGTAGTGTGCCTTGTCCGCAGGGTTATCTTGTCAGTTTTGTTTTCCGTGTTGTCCAGCACCACTGCTGGACAATTTTGGGGAACTTTTTTGGCCAACATGGGGATCAAACCCTGGACCTCCTGATTAGTGAGAGGGTTGGGTGGCCGAATGGTTAGCACGTGCGCGTTGTATCATAAGGTCTGTCATTGAATCAACTGGCGTGGTTTTGATTCCCTGATTGTACGTGACAAGGAGTAGGGTCGCCTGTCCAACCTCGTGGATTTTCTCCAGGTCCTCCGGTTTCCGAAATGACCTAGTTTGTGTCGAGTGGACATTTTTCAACACCCAATATTAACATTATGAGATCCATGAGATTGCATCTTGCCCGCGAAAATCAGTGCGTGCTTGCCCAGTCACAAGCGAAGGACGTGTTTCGAAGCTCTTTGCTTATTTGTCATTGTGTCTTTTTTAAAAAAGTTTTTTTTTAATATTTGAACATTTCTGTTACGTAGTAACAACGAAGATTGTATTGACGTAGTCAATAATTCGCTAAAGCAGTTTACTTTTTAGTTAACTTAAAAGCAGTTTGTTTTTTGGGGTTCATAAAGCACATGGCTGAAAAAATGGCGAAACATGCTCCTGCTACTAAGCAGATTCTAAAGGAAGATTTACAGGAAACCACGACAGGTGGTAAAAGAAAAATCCAAAATCCATTAAAAGAATCTGGGAACGTAGTTCCCTCTAAAAAACAATGTAGTGAAAAAACTAAAAATATTTCAAGGTCAAACGAAGGCCTTGCCTCATCTTCGTCCAGTAAATCCAAAACGACGAACAAACAATCTGACTCCGTAGAATCTAGTTCATTTCCACCCGACAGTATAAACACACTTGGTAATATCTTTACGTCGTCCATAAGAGATTTCCAATCAGTGTTAGTATCACATTTTAAAGATTTGAAATCTACAATTGAAAATAAAGGACAAAATAGATATGATTATGAATATGATGAGTTTGATGCCACTCAATGTGGGTCATACTATGATTACAGTGACTATCCATATGAATATGAAAGTCAGGACAATGAACCCAATAGAAATTATCATTTTATTTCTGATTCTTATGAAGAATCTCAAAGACATCTGGCAGAAACACAAAGGCCAGAAGCTGAGGACATTGCTTCTTTGGGCAGTGCAAATCATCCTTCTGCGACTGATCCCTATTAAACCCCATTTCTCTCTCTTTCTCTCCTGATTAGTGAGCCTACACCTTACACACTGACATGAGTCAGTTGTAAAGTTGGTGTAAACTTCAAATGGCTAATATCAATCATTTATTTTAGCCTTGCTAGAACTAAAGATGTTTGTCTGGACAAAAACTTATTTTCAGTCACAATGTAATCAACACGTAAAATCAAATTCAACAATTTTATTTTTGACCAGATCAAATTGGTTTAGGAATTTTAAGTCATAGATTCATTAGATATCTTTTGAAAATGAAAAGTGCTGTGAAGGTAGAATTTGGTAGTTCAGTTTACTGCCAATTCATAATTTTATGATAAAAGTTTGATTTAAAAAAAAAAAACAATTTTCAATGTTTTTTATATTTTTTTGCAGAGATATACAGGATAAATATAAATTAAATCTAACCAATGATGCTAAAGATCAGATAACCCGAGCTGCCCGTAATGTGGGACTAACACATACTATATTTCTACGTACACAATATGATGTCCTACGTCGTCTTCGAGCCTACTGGATCTCACGATTTCTCATGCATTTTGAACGACAAAAACCTATGAGGTATACATTTTTACCTATTTATAATGTACTGTCTAAATGGTAAATGTTTAGTATTTGAACAAATGCAGGGATTCCCAATGATTTATTTCTTAACACATCAATAAATGACCATCAATCAAAGGTGTTCAAATTTAATTGTATTTCATTGTTGTTGCATATTCTACCATCCACATATTTATATCATTTGCTTGTTAAAAATTGCATAGTATCTAACTCAGTAATAAGGTTGTTCCTTATGTTAATATGTTCGATTTAATGTTCAAGAGAGTCATAATAATTTTGTTATTATTTGGGGAGAAGGGTGGGGGGGGGGGTTAAATGATGATGTTTGATGTGTTGTTCAAAGCAACAGACATATCATATTCCTTTAAAGCAGAGATGATTACAATGTTGCTTTTTCCACCTAAAAGGAATGGCCGGGTAATTGGGGAGGGTAGTCAAGTGATAAGGAAACTGTACGCTCATCTTGTTAACCCTGGTTTCGAATCCTGGCATAGAAAAAAAAAACCATAGGATTTTTCAAGGCTGTTTTCACATATCAGGGGTGCAGTAAAGTGTTGCCTTGTCATTTAGCCTCCACATAAAATATTGCTTGACAGTTTGAATTTGACCTGGGCTGAAATGGTACTGTCTTGACAAAATTCTCCTCTCCAGCTTTGCTAAAGTAGCCATTAAAGAGTGTGAAATGAAATGAAATGGGGTTTAATGTCCTACTGTTCTGCTCGTAACCTGGGCTAATGAAGACGGGCATACGCCATACAGTGTGCTTTGAGGGAAATTTTGCCCGGGCAGCGGCGCTACGGCTTACTCTTGAATCGAATTCCAACTGCCAAGGGATCTTTTACGTGCACGCCAATGTGTACACAGGACTCGGTTTTTCGTCCCATCCGACCAACTAGACAGCTGTCCTTGTCAGGCCCTCCGCCCAGCATCACTGACAAGGGGAAACCACGCCGGAAAATCGGTATGAACACCCGACCTCCAGGCTAGCGAGCCAGCGTCTTACCCACTTAGCCACGTGATCCCCTCCATTAAAGAGTGTAGGTTAGTCCCAAAATGATTAATGTGTGGTGTTAAAAGTATAATAATCTTTTCTCTTGTTTTCAGTGAAGACGAAGAGAGAGACATGGTAAAGTTTAAAGTAATGAAACCAGCTGATAAAAATTCCCTACCGTTCTTCCCTTCTATATCCCTGGTTCATTCCATGCCAGTATGGCCAGATGATGCCTTTAATCAATCAAGGACATCATCATGGGATATGGTGAACAGTGGTAACATGTTACGTGATATAACATCTGCCAGAGGTAGAAGAGGAACTGCCAGAATAGCCCCATCTAGGTGAGTAATATGCCATTGAGGTGGCTGGGGGGCCAAAAATTGGCAAAAATGGGTTCATTAATTTAAAGACTGTCACAGGGGGACAAGCCTCAAGAACCCTGTGTCGGGTAGTCGGGTGGTGACAGACATAAGTTTAAGAGTTATAAGGCCCCAAACAAGAAAGGTTATATCAATGGTGAAGCGAACTCCAAACACCCTCTATTTATCGTGACTATCAATACACAATGCATAGTATAGTGCAAGGGAGGAAACTCTTGTTGTAGGCCTAGTTATTACACCCTGTTTTAACTATCTACTCCGAGAGCTCCAAACCCCCATATGAATTTCGTGGCAGTGGGTGTGTCCCAAGTAGAATTATGTTCCTGATTAATTAGACAGTTGTAGGGTTATGAATAAATTATTTCTTATTCCTTAATGTTACGCTGATCTCTTTGCTAGTTCACGCGTCAGGGCCCCTAAAATGTAGATCTGCAAATGGAATAGGGAAACTAATACAGTGAACTTCTCATGAGACCAACTGGAAGAAGTATTGTCTACATGGGAACAGTTGGAACAAATATTGTCTACATGAGAACAAATGAAACAAGTATTGTCTACATGAGAACAATTGGAACAAGTATTGTCTATATGAAAACAAATGGAACAAGTATTGTCTGCATGAGAGTAATTGGAACAAGGGTTGTCTACATGGGAACAGTTGGAACAAATATTGTCTACATGAGAACAATGAGAAAAAAATAATATACATGTTATATAAAACTAAATTTAAATATATTTTCAGGTCAACTAAAGACAGATTAATTGTAGCTTTAAGTTCTGACAGGTTGGCTGGTGGACCGTTTAAAAATTATCTAGATGTGTGAGTAATATTGATTGTAAATTCGTATAAATTTTAAAATACCGGTACTCAGTATGGGAAATGAAATGGGGTTTAACGTCCTACTTTTCTGCCTCTACAGGGCTAATGAAGATGGGTGTTCGCTAGGACAGTGGCACTACAGCGTATTCTTATATCGAATACCAACCTTTCAAGGTTTTTTTAGGTGTACATGGGACCTCGGTTTTGCGTCCTGTGTGCTTTAGATCATAAGATCTGTCATGAAGACATGTGACATGGTTTCAACTCAAAGCTTGTATGTGACTAGGAGTAGAGTTGCCTGCTTGCGAGCGAATTATTGGCATAAAATTGAACCATGTTAGTCTTAAAATTATCTTGTTTGTGTCAAGTGGATGTTAAACCCACTCTCCACTCTGTCTCTTTGTCATCTCTGTCTCTGTGTCTGGCTCTGTTGCTGTGTCTCTCTGTGTATGTTTCTCTCTGTGTCATCTCACTAAAACAACCCCCGACCACCCATATTAAATGACCCTGTGTCTCTGTCTGTCTCTGTCTGTCCCTTTGTTTGTTGTCTCTCTGTCTGTCTCTCTTTCTCTGTGAGTGTCTCCCTCTGTGTGTCTCTCTCTGATTCTGTCTCTCACTAACTGCTATTTCTATGTTTCAGTAATTGTGATTACCTGATGTTATCGAATCTGCTGTTCTGGCAAGATGTAACGGAATATGGTGCTACAGAAGACAAATCAGCCGACCGTCTGCTGAGAATGAGACATGCCTGGTCCATCTACACCAATTATATATCTGAAGATAGTCAATATAACGTCGGTTAGTGGATTAACAATTTGTAGAAATACAATTCATGCCTTGTTACCTTTACTTAGCTTTTCAGTTTTTAAAAGTCTGCATGGATATCTTTAGATTTTAAAGTTGAATGGGCTTCCTTGCTGAAGGAATTCCCACGATGCGTCGCTAGTAAAGATTTGATTCCATGTGTCCTTATTGTTGGTAAGAGAACCATATTTTGACGTATCAGCTTTTAATTCTATTTCAACGACAAAAACTAACATTTGTCAACACACCAGAACGTATTGAATTTAAGGAAAATAAGGGTAAGTGCAGGAGGACCGCACTACACACAAAACAAAAATCTACAAGACAAACCTGTGGACAAGACAGAAAATAGACATTGCACCAAATAAACAAATATCAAATCAAATGTATGGTTCCCGGGGGGCCACCTTTAAATTATGCCCCCTTATCTCTAGCAAGGACGTCCATTTATTAAGCAGCATTTAATAGATGCTAAACCATTCCCATGACAAGTAATATATTTATACAGCGATGGCTTGGTGGTTGTGGATGAAATATGTCTCGTTTAGTATGTTTTTAAAAAGCCTAGATATCTTTCGATTTTACAGATGGATCCATCAAGTGGCATTTAGTAGATGACAAACACATCACGATACAAGAAACCATTACTGTGGCAACGTCAGGATTTTCTTGTGCAGGGGGGAATGGGGGCATGGATGCTTTTTTAGTCCCACAAATATTTTCCAAAATTCCTGACATAATATGCAAATTGAATAAGGATCACAATCAAAAGAAATGATTAAAATTAGTACGATGTTGTGTGCTCTCATTGTGAATATTTTAACAAACATTATGCAAGAGCTAAATCTGCCTATTGCAGGTCTTTCTTTTGGCCTGAAATGTTATTAATTAGACATTAATTAACTTATCCAGACCCTAATCAACACTTGATGTCATCGCTAGCCTGCGATATTTACTGGTTTATAATCCGATCTGCTGCTCAATGCTCATTCATGATTAATTAAAAAAATGGATAATCAAGACTGTTTTTTATCGTACCGACTTTAGTAATGATGATCAAGACTAGGCCCAAAATTCAATCGCTAAATTCTCGGTTCAGAGTGGATCAATGTGACTGAAATTTTCAGCAAATTGCCTTTACATTATCTAGTTTGTAACTATTATAGTGAGAACTGCCAGCTCTTTATCTAATCTCCCATATTTGAACTTTCATCACATTCGAATATCTGTGATGAAAAGGTTTCATATTGCCATTTTCAGGGCTTGCTTTGGCTGACCTTAATCAGTCACAGGATTTATGTAATATATTTACAAATGTTGGTTGACAAATCTGTCGGAAAGAGTTTGAAATTCTGATGTTAAAAACGATGTTTTGTATAACTTTATTTTAGAGCCCTCCGAGAAAGAACGGAATAATTTACATCAAATGTTATCTGGTTCTAGAGATTTTGTCGAGGCGTCAGTTTTTGACAGTATAAAAGACAGAAGCATTGGAAGATTAGAAAAAGCATGGATTAGATTTCTTAAAGATGATCTCAAAATATTCCTTGAGTAAGTTTTACGTTAATTCTCCCTTACAAAGTACTACGCCATTATAGTTAATTGTATATGTTACAAGTCCCTGTAGGTTACAGGTCCCTTCGTTCAATATCAGTTCTCTGATTCCAGACATCTGGGTTATGTGTATTGTAATGGTGGTTTGTCAATTAAAGTTATCAACAGTTGTCGCTCTCTGTGTTTGTTCCTGTAGTGCTCCCTACTAAACTGTCGCTGTACTACAATAATATACAAGATCCTGCAACTGAAGAATTGAGGCTATAGCTCTTTATTTCCAGTCTTATCATAAACCAACAGAATGCTTGTGAGAAAAACATCGTGAATAAAACCCCTTAACTTCAATGCTCAAAGTACTATACTACAATAATATATGAGATTCTGCAACTGGAGAATTGAGGCTTTAGCTCTTTATTTCCAGTCTTATCATAAACCAACAGAATGCTTGTGAGAGTAGGCATTAGTGTCTACGGTCAGACAAAATTTCCCTCGTAACAAACTAACTATACACGGTATGCCTGTCTTCATTCGCCCAGTCAGAGCAGAACAGTAAACCCCATTTCATTTCCCCGAAAAGATCCTCTCACACGTTGCAGAAATTTTATTTTCAGGGGGGCCGAATGGTTAGCACGTACATGACAAGGAGTAGGGTCGCCTATCCAACCTCATGGGTTTTCTCCAGGTCCTCTGGTTTCCTCCCACTGCTAAAGACCCCTACGCGGAAGCGAATTATTGAAATAAAATAGACCATATATTAGTCCCAAAATGACCTAGTTTGTGTCGAGTGGACATTAAACCCCCTTTCTCTCTCTCTCTTTTATTTTCAACTGTTGAATAGATATATTGTATTTCATTTTTAGTTGTCGTATTCGACCAGGAAGAGAAACACCACCAAGTACAGCTGAAGCGATAGAAATAACCGTTGCGGGAGCTGATCAAGATATTCTTGTTATAAAACGACCTCGACCTTGGGTCAGAAGGTAATTAATATACTACGATATTCTACATTTTATTTTAACGACATCAATTTGGAAGGATTCCCAGAATTATTTTTATATATCTATTTTATATATTGAAGCTTTATTGTTTTCATTTCATTAGTGCTTACCGCAATATAGGGACGTCACCTTTTGAGGGGGCTTGGATGGTCGAATGGTTAGCATGTGCGCGCTGTATCATAAGGCCTGTCACTGAGTCCAACCTCATGGGTTTTCTCCAGGTCCTCTGGTTTCCTCCCACTGCTAAAAACCCCTACGCGCAAGCGAATTGTTGAAATTAAAGTTAACCATGTGTAAGTCTCGAAATGACCTAGTTTGTGTCGAGTGGACGTTAAACCCCATTTCTCTATCTCTCTCTCTAACCTTTTGAACTTCTAGTCAATTCCTCATTATTCATGTGTCATGGCGTATTGTAAATCCAGATTATCACTCTATTTAGCAGTCAGATACAGGGGAATTTATATAAGGCTCAGAGTCTCAGGGTTCAAAGGGTTAACCTATATTCTAGTTGGGATGGCCACTACTTTTAGAACATCTGATATCACTTCTCAGTCATTTATGGACTATTCACATAATTATCACGGTTCATGCTACAACTGAAATCGTGGTTTTAATTGTGAAGTAATCGTAGTGATCCTATCAGGTCTCACCATATATTGTAGTCATTCGTAGCAATTGTGTTAATTGTATCGAAACGTATCCGAACATATCTCCACGTACCAGATCGTGGACTCAATAGGGACAATCCTATCGTAACGCATCATACAACAGTGGGAACCTGGCATTACTATTACTATGGTAACACATCGCACGACATCGGGGACCTAGCGTTACAATTTTGGGCCTGACATATAGTACATGGATTTTAGCTAGAGTCCTACATGAAGAGAGAAGAGATACCAGTATAATTTTGTATTGGTAAGAATTTGGTGATTGTTTTAAAATCTTGTACTGATTATTATAATTTTATTTAGATTACAGCCGTTAAGGTAATATATGTAGCTGTGTGATACTAGATGTATTGTTGTGTTGTGTCAATCTGATAAAAAACACATATCTATATTTCGTTTCATTTTTTTTATACTTTCGATAGCCTACACTACATGAAGATCTGACAAGTTGTACTGGAAGGTCGCCTCAGGGGTCATACGAGTGGCTTTTGATCCTATGACGTCGGACATTGATTAATCAATCAGCGTTGATGTTTCTAGCGGTTTAATCAAGAAGTCACCGTAACAGACAGTTTCATTGACTTATCCCTCACCTCGCATCCAGATCCTAGTGTAGTGAAGACAGTTAAAATGAAATTTTGAACTATATAAAACGAACGAAATAGGATCTGTGTTTTATTCAGATTGTTTTTGTGGCTAATAATGATATTATTGAATGCTGATTATAGCTATTCAAATATTCGATTACATGCGTTTAATTAATTCATTAGTTATTAATTTCACAATTGCATGAAATAATTAAGAAATGCACAATATTTTTAGTTGATGTAATCTTTTTGCACTGTAAAAATTAAAAAAATCACAAAGTGTTGATAGCATGTTATTGAGTATGTTTTTATTGATGTGTTGTACAAGGATTAAATGCCAAACTTTCATTTGTGTGTTCAATAGCATTTTAGATCGCAAGGTCCGTCACTGAGTCAAGTAGTGTGGTTTCAATCCCAAGCTCGTACGTGAGAACGAGTTGGGTAGCCTGCATGTTTCTGAAGCAACGACCGCGAGTTTTACAAGTTGTATGTAGTTAAAGCGAGATCAAGCCTTCTATTGAAGATGGGTAGCCTGCCAAACCTTGTGGGTTTTCTCCAGGTCATCCGGTTTCCTCCCACAGCTAAAGTGAAAAATTGTATTATACATTAGTCCCAAAATGACCTAGCTTGTGTTGGAAGGTGGATGGGCGTGGGGTGGGGGGAGTCTAGTGGTTTAATGTGTGCATGTGAAATCACAAGGTCTGTCATTGAGTCATGTTGCGTGGTTTCGATTCCCCGCTTGAACTGACAAGGAGTAGGGTGTTGAGTGGGTAAATTTTAAAGGTATGACTTAAGAGAAAGGTTAAATGGAGCTGGTTTTCATATGCTTATTTGTTTTAAACATTTCTCTTTAAACTATGTGGAGATTGAACGTTTCTCTGTAGACTATGTGGAGATTAAAACTGGAGATATATACGAGTGGGAGGGTAGGGTGGTAAATCTGTCATAGTGTATGCTTGGTTGTGGATACTTCATATGCTTTTTGTGGAATATATCATATATTTGCTTTGAATTATCCTCAGTATAAAATCACAATCTAATCAGGGCCCTATTTCTCGAAATCTTAACTAAAGATAAAATCCAAATTTGAGTAGATACTTCAATTTTGATTGGCTAAGCACTTAAATCAATCTAATATTATCCAATCAAATTATTAAAATCTGGATTTTATCTTAGTTAAACTTTCGTGAAACAGGCCCCAAATATATTTATAATGATGAACTAACTCATCTTCACGGAAAGCATCTACTAATATATTTGGGCAAGTTTTCGAAATACATTCTATCATCTTAGCCTGATAACGTTGAGAGAATACTTTTTGAAACGTCGCCCAAATATGTTAGTAGCTGTTTTTCCATAAGTATGTGTTATAGTTTATCACTCTGTCCAATTACTGTATGCCTCTAAAAAATTATAGTTATTATGCTTGATATTAAATTTAATAACTATTATATATGTCCCCCTCCAACCCCCTAATCTATAATTGCATATGCGAATGTATGCGTATTATATAGTAGAATAACATACCAAATTTGCATGAAAACAAAAATAGAGTTGCACTGAGTTATAACTTTTAAAATACTAAACATTTTATAATTGTATTAATATGATTCCTTAAACAATAATTTGAAATATCAACAATGCAATGTATTTTTTTGTAGAAGATGAAATATGTCCTTAATCACCATGAATAGAACCATTTTTTAAAAATCTGTTGCCAGTAAAAAAACAATTCTGGAATTGTATATTTAAACTAAGGCATTGTTTCTCCATTATGTGTGGTTTAATGGTTGAGAGCAAGACATTCAGTCAGTGTTTCTCTACCAGTGTGCTGCGAGATCTTCCTAAGTGTGCTGCGAAATTTTGAAAGGCACACTAGGAAAATGTGAAAAACCGCATGACCCTAGTTGAGTATTCACTGGTGTCTACTGATAAGTTCATATCTGTGTTTTTTTGTATTTAGTTTGAGTCATTCTATATTTCTATGACTAGTCTCTGTCTACCGTTGTATGCTGTCTATGACCTATCATGTTTTTATTTTGCAAAATTCAAATACATTTAGCCAGGTGTGCCGCTATTTTTTTTTAGTGTGTTCTAAGGTGTGCCGTTGGCAAAAAAAAAAAGGTTGAGAACCACTGCATTAAGTAATATATTGAAAAAACACGAGTGATGAGAGTTGTTGTTTCAATATATTATGCAATGTCTTAAGCTCGAGACCACTGAACAGCTTAAAATACAGACACTCGCAGTGCTTTGCAATGAAATATGTCATGCGGATCCCAAATTTTAGCTAGTATAAATAATGTACACTTGGCACATTACATTATTACGATTATTTGAAATAATGGTACGCCAACATCAAAGGATGACATCACATCTGTATTTTAATACTTTTTAACAGAGAGTGGATCATTTATACCTTTTCTGCTTTTGTTAGTTTTACTCTCAGAACCGGATTAAGTTATGGACTTTGGGGAGTTTAGTGATTTCCGTCAGAGATTAAATGAAAAGTTATTTATTTAAAGTATGAATGGATCTCTAAACATATCTTTTTGAATAAAAGATTCATTTAATGTACGGCATGGTTTCGAATCCCCGGTTGTACGTGGCAAGGAGTAGGGTCGCCTGTCCAACCTCGTGGGTTTTCTCCGGGTCCCCTGGTTTCCTCCCACTGCTAAAGACCTCTACGCGCAAGCGAATTATGTATATAAAATTAAACCATATGTTAGTCCCGAAATGACCTAGTTTGTGTCGAGTGGATGTTAAACCCCATTTCTCTCTCTCTCTCCATTTAATGTACATGTACTGTATATTTGTAGTAAACACACTAGGCCAAAAACAAACACTGTAGGCCTATTGTACACCAGAGTTTCTAGATTCATAACTCAGGACCATCTTTCTTGGAGGGCCCCACAGCACCGGTAGCCCAGTAACCTACAAACTCTTAATCCTGCTCTGCCTACAATCCTGTTATTAAATAATCCATACACGACTTTTCTTTCACACACAGAGTACCCGGATCAACTCAATCTGAACGAGGCCTACGTTTAAATAAATCTATAGCTGAGGCGGAAGAGATAGATTTTGAGCGGTTAGCAGAACAGAGAAAGAAAAATCAAGAAAAGCGAAAGGAAGCTGAAAGAGAGAGAAAGAGAGCTGTGAGAGCTGCTTATGCTCGACAAAGAGAAGCCAAGTTAAAGAAACCCCCATCAAGGGTATGTAAGAATGTTTGATTTATTCAATTTATTTAATTTTTAAATAAAATGAAATAATCTAAAAAAGAGTTTTAAAATATCAAAAGAGAAAGCTGTGTATAACTCTATTGTCAGGCTTTTTATCTACAGTCTCTTTTGAGTATTTTAGGAAAATTTTTGTTTAATGCAGATATGGCGGGCATTGTCTAATCCATTCAATATCTAAGACATCCAAAGACCTAGAGAGTTGATTATGGGCTTGTCATGTCTAAGTGATAATTTATATACCATTTTAAGCCAGGAAACTAGAAAATTTAGCTAATAAATAATGTATTGTTAAGACCCCGCCCCACACTCACCGTCCAATTCATGGTTTCTTGTGACCTTTATAATGATAAATAACCCTTTTAATTTGGGGTGGTTTCTGGTGATCAAGTACTAAAGGTTTAAGAAGTTTCCAAGTTTCAGTCCTAATTGTGAATAGTTTCAAAAATTTTTCCAACAGAAGAAATCTGGGATTGAAGAAGAGGAAGATGTGACTGATAAAGGAGGAAAATTACCAACTTTTCAAGATATGTTTTCAAATAAACAGTAAGTCATGCAATATAACTCATTTAATATTGATGTGATTGAATAAATAGTAAGTCATTGAATATATTTGATATTGATGTGATCAAATCTTCTGGTGAGTCTTATCAATTGGATTTTAGAAGTACACAGCACAATCGTCATACCTCAGTATATTCATTAATTTCTGCCATATTTGAATTTATACTCAAACATAACGCAGGCAGAATGGTTAACTGAGACTGTTAGAAACACAATTTCTTATTACGATTTAGGACTCAATAATCCACGCAGAATAACGTCAACTTTAGGTCAAAACACTAAACATTCTATGATGGTGGCATAATTTGATAAAATGCTGTTTTTGTACTTTAAATTTTGCTTTATGTATAGTCTGGTAGTCATGGTTACTGGAATGATACACACATGGACTCATTACTTATCTTATCTCGGTACCAATGATTTGTAGTTCCTCTATTTATAGTACTTCTCTCTTTCCCCCAATCAGGAGAGTATTACTAGTCTGAGCCCACATCAGATATCAGAGTTGTCTCCCCTGACACTATGATTGTACTTATTTGTTTGAAAAATGGTTAAATTTTTTTATAAATATTACAAATATCAGCAAATATACAAACTATATTGTACAGGGCTTGTATAGGATAGAACAAGAAGATCTGGGTAATTAGTTATACTTACATAATCTTTTGTCCTAGTCCGGATTATCTCCCTTTTCCATTATTGTCATCAATTGAAATAATGCAACAACAATGTTATGAAGAAATTTATTTAAGAAATATATTTTTTTTTCTTACTGCATATTGTTATTGCAAAGTGTTAAATATCATTTTTTTTACTGCATATTGTTATTACAAAGTGTTAAATATCAATTTCATAAGACACTAATAAACTAAAAAACATGCTTATGGAAAACAGCTACTAATATATTTAGTAAATGGATGGGAAAATAAACTATAACCAGACTTATGGAAAACAGCTACTAATATATTAAGGCAACATTTTGGTATTGGCTTGAAAAACTAAAGAAAATATAACCAATATATTATCAGTAGTAGCTGTTTTCTATAAGTATGTAGTATACTTTTATACCCTATCCAGTAGTAGCTGTTTTCTATAAATATGTGGTATACTTTTATACCCTATCCTGTAGTAGCTGTTTTCTATAAGTATGTGGTATACTTTTATATCCTATCCAGTTACTAAATGCTTTGAGTAGATTTTATAATAAACTGATATGTTTATTATTATAGGATGATGGTGTTATTTAAGACGTATATAAATGTTTATTAATATAGAATGATGGTGTTATATGTTTATTTTTACAGGATGATGGTGTTATTTAAGAAGTATATATCTGAGTTCGATATCCGTGACGTGAGTTATATGGTGGGTTTATATCAGGATATCGAGTCGTATTTAAATAATAAAGATGGTAAATCAAGAAAAGATATGTTAGCCAATAATATACACAAGTAAGTAGAATCTTTAGAATAATATACACAAGTAAGTAGAATCTTTAGAATAAGATTAGGGGGTTGGGTTAAACTTGTTTTGTTACAGGAGGTGTCTGTTCGAATGTGCTTTAATTCATAAGGTATGTGGAGAGAGAGAGAGAGAGAGAGAGAGAGAGAGAGAGAGAGAGAGAGAGAGAGAGAGAGAGATGGGTTTAATGTCCACGCGACACAAACTAGGTCATTTCGGGACTAGCATATGGTTTAATTTTATTTCAATAATTAACTTGCGCCCAGGGTTCTTTAGCAGAGGGAGGAAACGGGAGGACCCGGTTGGACAGGCGACCCAACTCCTTGACTCAATGACAGGCCTTAGGATACAGTGCACATGTGCTAACTATTTGGCCATCCACCCCCCCCCCATAAGGTATGTTATTGAGTCAAGTGGCATGGTTTTGATCCCAGACTTGTATGTGACAAGGAGGAGGGTTGCCTGCCTAACCTTATGGGTTTTCTCCGGGTCCACCAGTTTCCTCCCACTGCTAAAGACCCCTACACACAAGTGATTTATTGAATAATGTTGAACCATATGTTTGTCCCGAAATGACATAGTTTGTGTCGAGTGGATGTTAAACCCCATTTCTCTCTCTCTCTTTTTTCAAGCTATTGAGTCAGTTTGATACTTATTAAGTGAGGACCACAATGATGCTAAGATTACTTGTGTGTGGTACGAATTATTACACATCAAAATACAGTGGACTCCATCAAATCCGACATTGTACAGGATTGTTACAATATTTTGGATTACGCAGAGTGTCAGAACACTCAGTTTTCTCAAAACCGGAAATATTGTAACTTTGAAAACTGTGAATTCGTGGATATTCTTGAGTATTTGTCACAACTGTCTTACAAGAGATTATAAAATTATCAAAGTAATCAACAAAAACCTACGCTAGCAAGTTTTAATCTCACCGATAATTGATTAGTGGTTGCTTGCTTCAAACCCACCGATTGAAGGCTGGATTAAACAGTGTTGATTCAATGGAAATCGTGAAACGGGACGGTTGATAGATGTCGTAATTCGGAATATTAAGAGTAGGTATTACTCAAAGATTTTTTGGTTGAAATAATAAGGAAATAAATCTGGACATGAAAATGATGTCGGATTTCACAGAGTATTTGAGAAATCAGAGGTCGGATGTGACAATTGTCCACTGTAGTAATAAAAAATCAGATAGGGTTATATTGATCTACATTTTGTACACCACTCAACTCAAGACAATTTCTATTTGTAATTTTTCCATTTAGGGCATATTTTGATAATCTGAGTAGAAAACATGTACCAATGCCAGAGAAGATTATAGCTAGATTAGGCGTGGAAAAAGAACGACCAAGAACAGCAACACTCAGGGATGCTCAGAGATTTGTTCTGGCTAAAGTTGAAGAAACGTATAAAGATTTCTTAAATGTAAGTCTTTTTGGAAAGGGAGATAAATGAGATGTAACGTCCACTTGGCTCAGTGGCTAAGACGTTGGCTCGCTAACCTGGAGGTCGCGTGTTTGATCCCTGTGTTGGCCGAGAAAGTTCATAAGGATTTTCCGACGTTGTTCCTCCTTGTCAGTTGTGCAGGACTGTCTTTTGGATGGGACGAAAAACCGAGGTCCTGGGTACATATTGGCGTGTACACATTGAAATTTGATATAAGAGTAGACTCTAGTGTGGCTGTCTGGACAAAATTTCCATCATGATAAACTGTTTTGCGTATGCCCGTCTTCATTAGCCCAGTCGGTGCAGAACAGTAGGACGTTAAACTCAATTTTATTTTATACTCGATGATTGATAAGATGTCACAATTCCAGTGATGACATCATGATCGGTTCCTGATTCTTATTGCACGCTTTCATTTGATCCGTCTTCATTACCCAGTCGGTGCAGAACAGTCGGACATTTCATTTCTTGTATTTGTTTTTAAGTATTTATTTCATCTTATTTGACAGCATCAAGCTGATGAATTGGGTATCGATCCTGTAGAAATGTTAACAATGTCGCCAGCTGAGCTGACTATGAGAATGGGTAGTGATGCAGCCATGCTGACATCGTGGAATAAACGTAGTAAAGTGAAAGGAAAAGTAAGTATTAATTGTTTTAGAAGTTATTAGATCACTCTGCACCGTTGACAATGTTAGAATTTTATTAATGTTTCACTGAAGCACAATTTAGGCACTATATCATTTGCTCTGCTCTGAAATTAGGTGTCTTACCTTTAAACCAAATTGTTTTCTGCCTTGACAAAGAAGAGCCATCTCAGCCAGGCGTTCTTTTTTAAAAGAGCAAAACCTCTTTGATGAATGGAAAGCGACAAAATGATGAAAAGAGTTGTTGCCTTGATCAGTGATTGGTCAAAATATATGCAATTAAATTTTCATGTCAGTTTTTTTCTTACAATTTTATTTTCGTTTTGGCTTAAACTGTTGAATATGGAATACAAAATTAGTTTTATCTCAACATCGCCTCTATCACAAAAGCCAATTAAATTCAAATTTAATTAAATTGAAACTATTCTTCCCAAAAGAGGACCGGCATTTTAACGCTGTGTTCCTACATTCGGCCGTAGTACAAATTCCTCCCCACATCAAATTCACTACCTCTAAAAATTAGTCCAATTACACAAGTAAGGTCAAACAAATTTATTTGTTAGTTCTTCGGTGATTTTGATAAATAAATAGTCGCTTTGTTCGTTTTTTGTGTTTAAAGATTTGAACTAGAGCAGCCAAGTACGTTTTATTTTTTTTTCCGAAGATAAAGGAACCAGAATGTGTAATCAGGTGTTCCCAAAGAACGAAAATTGGTTTAGGTCTGTTTTAGGTCTGAATATTAAGGCCAAGTGAAGATTTGATCACAGGTCACTGGATGTAAGTAGGGCTAGCCCTAGCACTAACCCTAAACCTACCCTCCACCTAGCCCTAACCCTTACCCTAACCCATAATCGCATCAAAAATCACATGCCGTACCCCTATTTACACCTCGCAGCCTTGACGAAATCTGCAGTTGGTTTTAATATTTAGACCTGACCCAAGTTTTGTCTCATAATGACTGTTTTTATAAAAGCACCAAGCACAAATTTTAAATGTTTAATTTTTATCACCATATTTCTCAAATTTAACTTTTGTTAATAATTGATTAATTACGGAAAAACAGAAAGGAGAGGAGAAAGGGGAGAAAACTCCACCACCAGAAATCTTACGAAAGATAACAACTGATTCTGTTAAAGTTCGAGTGTACGAATCCACGAGACTGGCTAATTCTGTCAGCAAAACTCCAAGAAAACCCGGAGTCGGGTCCAAATATTATAAATATACAAGGAGAGGGAACATGCCTTCTGTTGAGGTATGCCGTGTATTTTGTGTGACGTGTACTGTTTGATGTTGTCAATAAGATATATATGTGTGTGTGGTGAAAACGTAAGGACCTGCATTACATAATGCTTCAGAATGTATTGTTACATATATTTATAACAAATTAATATTTTTATACACCGACATTTTCATGTGGATATATATTGTCATTGCCCTTGTCTGTCTGGACGTTTGTGGACACCCTACAGGTCGCAAATTTTATCCGATGTTGACGAAACTTGAAATATAGGTCTATCTCCCAAAGATCTTGGTTCATTCCGATATTGGCATGTATCGGACCATAACTTCATGGATTACGGCCCCTGATTGTACGAAAAATGCTTTTGTTTTTAGCTTGTTCTCTATCCATCTCTTGCAAAATGTGGGCGTATCTTGCCTGGCAACTGCTGGTTAACACTGTGGAGGCCCACATTAAATGTCTACCACAATGACCATGGATTGGTTGGATGTCAATCTGTCAGTTGCTGTGTTTTTTTCTAATTGAAATGAAATTAATATTAATTTGTTTATGAGTTATTGCCCTTGGTGGATGCTCTATAAACTCAAACTATGTCAAATTTAACTAACAGGTTTGAACCTTTTATTTTACGTTTAATCCAATAATGCAGATTGACTCATTCGTTAACGAGGGTATTCTCCAGGTCCTCCGATTTCCCCCTACCACGAAAGACCCATACGCAGTAGTGAATTATTGAAATAAAATCTAACCATATGTTAGTCCTGAAATGACCTATTATGTGTCGACTGGACCTCTCTCTCTCTCTCATTGAGTCAAGCAGGGTGGTTTTGAATACCCCTTGTATGTGGCAAGGAGAAGGGTTGCCTGTCCAACCTGGTGGGTTTTCTCCAGGTCCTCCGGTTTCCTCCCACCACTAAAGACCCATAGTGAATTACTGAAATAAAATCGAACCATATGTCAGTCCTGAAATGACCTAGTTTGTGTCAACCGGACCTCTCTCTCTCTCTCTCTCTCTCTCTCTCGTGTGCATATTGTCAAAGATCATATAGTAGCCCATAATTAGCAAGTATACCCTATATGGAATAAATGAAGTGACATGCAATATCAGTTCCTTCAACTGACAATAGACATGTAATATGTATAATAATGACCAGTTATGATAATCCCTCCAGGCTTCTGTTATAACACATTTTAATACTAATATATGCTATTAATAGTGTTTATTGTAACATAATGTTATATATTGTAACATATTGTAATATTTTGTAATATATATACTAAATATTGTAATTATAATTTTATTGTCACCATACAATATTGTAAATATGTTTATTGATTATGATGTTTGTTTCATTTTAAATTTTCTGTGATATTTGTGATATACAGGGTCAATATACAGTTCATTAATATTTATACAAATGAATTATACCCAATGTCGCTAAGTCAGTTCATTAATATTTAGACCAGGGGTGTGAAACTCATTTTGATTCAGGGGTTACATTAACTAATATTTTACATCAAAGGGCCGAAGATATACAAAAATATCAACATAAAGAAAATTTTATTGATTTGACTAAAATCATTACATATTATAATGCAATACAATACATGTACTTTGAAATGGACCAGTTTAGCCAACTTAGATATCTATGACATACAGTACAGAGGTCAGAGTTTTACTGAAACCAGAAAACAATAATAAATAAATTCAACCGCTAGTTTCTAAGAATTGTCGACACGTCAGTTTGTTAATATTTGTTCCATGGGCCACATTTGAACTCTTGGCGGGCCGGATGTGGAGCCCACGGGTGCCGCATGTTTGACCCCCCTGATTTAGACAAATGAATTATACCCAATGTCTATAAGTCCGTGCATTAATATGTTGCTATCTGAGAAAATAGACAAAATATTTTTTAAGATGTTTTTTTTTATCGAGCCCATTACTGATAGTAGACGTAACCTATTAATATGTTTCTATCCAAGAAAATAGAAAACTGATTTTTCATGCAGCAGCGCTCAACCACTCATTTTTCACCCAGCAGTCCCAGTACATCTGGCATTGTCTAATTGTCATGTGACCAGTCTGCCTTTGTGTATTGGTCATTGTTAATAATGCAATTATGTTATAAACGTAAAATGGTGGTATTTATGATGTCCTATCCTAGTGCCCGTCTTCATTAGCCCAGTGGGAGCAGAACAGTCTAGTGAAATTAATCTTTAATTTTCAGCACATGTTAATCTTGATTCTAGCTTAAAAGATATGAGTTAGCCCAATCTTATTTAGTTTATCTCGTCTTGTGTGCTAGATGAAGACAAATCGAATGTCATTAGAGTAAAAACGTAAAAAACGATTGAATGAAAATCATTATATGCGTTTGCGACCCATTTATGTCAATTTCCAGGTCCCAAATATAAGCGATTTAGCTCCTTTTCAGCACATGGTGATCTTTACTATAGTTTTGAATATATGAGTTAGTCCAATCTTATTTGGGAGCCATGATGGCTAAGTGCGTAAGGCGCTGGCTCACTAACCTGGACGTTGCGTGTCAGATCCTGCATTGGCTGAGAAAGTTTATCAGGACTTTCCATCACGGTTTCACCTTGTCAGTGGTGCAGGATGGAGGCCTGACAAGTACAGCTGTCTATAGTCATTCGGATGATACGGAAAACTGAGGTCCTGTGTACACATTGGCGTGCACGTAAAAGATCCCTTGGCAGTTGGAATTCGATATAATAGTAGGCCATAGTGCTGCTGCCTGGGCAAAATTTCCCTCATAGCACACTGTATGGTGTATGCCCGTCTTCTTTAGCCTAGTCAGGAGCAGAACAATAGGACGTTAAACTCCATTTCATTTCATTTTTTTTATTTTCCAATCTTATTTATTCTATCTTGTCTCATGTACTAGGTGGAGACAATTCGAATGTCATAGCAGAACATTTCCATTTCCTATTTTAGTGAAGTTAATCCTTAATTTTCAGCACAAGTCGATCGTTACTCTAGCTTTGAATAATTATATATCTGTTAGTCCAATCTTATTTATTCGATCTCATCTTATGAACTAGGAGCCGACCATCCTTACGTCAAGAGAGGAAACAGGTAGTAGTCTTGTAACTAGTACGCCCAAATCAGCTACCAAACGACGAAAGCGCAAGGTATTTAACCCGAGATTCCTTAATGGGTACTGGAAGGCTTGCTTTACATAATATTTTTAATTTCTAGCTTTGAGAAAAACACGATGGATAAACTTTAATACAGATATATTAATGGGTGATGGAATGCTTGCTTTACATAATATTTTTCATTTCTGGCTTCAAGAAAAATACAATGGATAAATTTTAATACAGATATCTTAGTGGGTGCTGGAACGCTTGCTCTATAAATGTTTTTAATAATTTTCTTATTTTTTTCTGGCTTTGAGCAAAATGCAAGGGAAAGGCCTACTTTGAATTTCCTAATGGCTTGCTCTGTCTAAAGAGCCAAACACAAGTGGTACTTTAAATTTCTTAAAAGATGTTGGAACGTTTGCTCTATCTAAAGAACTTTCAAATGCTTTTAATAATTTCCTTTTTTCTAGCTTCGAGAAACACCCAAGGTGTTCTTTAAATTTTGGTTACGATACCTAGTTGTAGAGATTTAAATGCTTTTAAAATATTAATAATATGTGCAATTACAGATTCTTTGATTTATTTATAAAAGTGCTTTATGCTTTTAAAAATATAATATGTAGGGCTGGGAAAAAGGTTTACAATCTATTGCTTTGCCATACTAAACTTAGGCTGTTGGTCTACAGTTAGCTCCACTTGAGAACAGTAGACACTAAGCTAGATGACAGACATTTTAAGTCTTAAATCAACGATTTTTGTCGAAAACACTAAGTAAAATTTGAGAATTTTGTTAAGTATTTATTCTGCTTCTATTGAATAAAATTGAAAATGTTTATTTAATTTTTGTTTGTATGACAGATGTGAAACGGAGTAGAACCACATTACTAAACAGTAATTTTTACTAATTCAATATTTTCTTTTTTTCATCATCAATTTTTGAAGTATTATAGCAATAATGACCAACTCTTTATTAAACTATTAACTAATGTATCTTTAAGTTAAGGTCAAATTTTAAGTTACAATCGATTTTAAGAGATTTAAACATGCATTATGCAAGAGCTAAATCTGCATATTGCAGGTCTTTCTTTAGGCCTGAAATGTTTTCTAAAGTATTAATGAGACATTAATTAACTGATCCAGGCCTTAATCAACTCTCGATGGCATCAGATTTCTCCGATATTAAATAGATTAGAATGGTTCAGCGATACTTTGATTTAATCAAATATGGAGGACCGAGAGTTAGCTTCGATCAACCAGTACAGTGGTTGAAATTATTGCACACGTCTGTCAAACCTTCAATGGCTAATATCTTCGCTTGCAATAGAGTAATTTGAATGAAATTTTCAAATTATTCATTTTACATCATCTACTTTTGAACTATTATAGCAAGAATGGCTAGTTCTTTATCTTAATCTTACATAATGTATCTTTAAGTTTTCGTGAATAAGGGCCCAGAACAGTAGGATTGTGTAGAATCTAACACTGTAATCCGGGTATCATTTAATCTTGTGTATTTAGCACTAATTTCTTTCACAACTCATTATCAAAATTAATCAGTCAGCTTTAAACTGGGAACAAGTACAAATTAGATGATTTGGGGTCATTTTAAAGATACATTATGGGAGACTCTATAATGAGTTGGCAGTTCTCACTTTAATAGTTAAAAACTAGATAATGTAAACGCAATTTGCTGAAAATTTCATTCAGATTGATCCACTATGAACCGAGAACTAAGCGATTGAAATTTCTGCCTAGCCTCGGTCATCATTTCTAAAGTCAGTACGATAAACAGCATAGTCTTGATTATCCATTTAATCGTTAAATCATGAAAGAAAGTTATGCAGTAAATCGGCTCATTACCCACTAAAGATCACAGGCTAGCTATGCCATCTAGAGTTTATTATGGTCTGGATAGGTTAATTAATGTCTAATTAATAATTTAGATAACATTTCAGGCCTAAAGAAAGACCTGCAATAGACAGATTTAGCTCTTGCATAATATGTGTTTAAATGATTTTTATGAATTTTTAAACAAAGATTTGATATTAAACGAATGTGAAAGAAATTAGTGCTACATACACAAGATTTAATGATACACGGATTACAGTGCAATTGTCAGGAAAACAAATTAAAATAGAAAAAAAATATTGAAAACTGTAGAATTTTTGTACATAAATATATTTTTATTTCAGATACTTACATCTAGCAAAACAGTTGCAATAAACCATTTAAGAGAAATTTATTTATTTCAGCAGAATTTTTGTTCAGGTTACACCTAGCTAAATAAAATAAAACCAAGTACGAACAATCCAAACCATAAGACAGAATTCGAAGTCCTAAAAAATGTTAAATGCAAAATAGTGTATTCAAGCAAAATAGTGTAATCAGCAAATGGACTGCTCCTCGTGTACAAAATACACGACAAACAGTGGTAACAGGTGTCCGGAAGAGTAAGCTTGCCCTGCCTGGCGCCACACCTGCCATAGCTGCATCCAAACTATTAGGTGAAATGTCTGTAAAATAGCCTGATTGGCCAATGAACTATTGGTATGCAAAATGCACGCAATGAACTGTGTTAACGATGTAGTAGACATTATCTGGGAGATAGTAATAGTATACGTGTCAATTAAATATATCTAGAATAATAGCCGAGAGAGACGCGTTATATTTACTAATCAAGTCAATATGACGGCCATAAAACTTTTTGAAGGTTTTAATAAGTTTAGTGCGCAAGTATCCTTGTAGTTGAAGCTTAGATGACAAATGCCTCGATCTACTTAAAAAATCAGAATAAAAGGAACAAGCTCTCGCGTAACGAATTAGCTGAGACGCAAACACTCCATAAGCTGGTGATATTGGAATGTTACTACTAATAAATGGAAAGTTAACAATCGGAAAGTCAAAGTCATCACGTTTATCGTACAATTTAACACTAAGTTTATGGCAATTGTCAAAATCGAGACGCAGATCCAAGTAGGAAGCGTAATTGTCACTGTCAGTGGTGTTTTTAATTTCGAGCTCATCAGGATATATGAATTCTACATAATCACTAAATTTAGGATTATTAAGTGATAAAAAAGTAATTTATTCCTTTTAGAAAAAAAAATATTGAAAATTGTAGAAATTTTGTGCACAAACCTATTTTTATTTTGAATACGTACATCTAGCAAAATAGATACAATAAACCATAATCTAAGCAGAATTTTTGTTTAGATTACAACTAACATAACCGATATCTAAAATGTGATTTATTCCTTTCAGCAGACAGGTCGAGCACAACCGACGAAGAACGATATGGCAGAGTTTATATCGGCACTGAGTCAGTCTGCGTCTGGTCAGCTACCGATAGAGATGCTGTACTTCTATACCTATCTAGTCAAACATGGAGAGGAAGATAATATGCCATTAGTTGATCGTGATCTCTTCTTTTATATTGAAGTTCAGAAATTTAAGGTAAAACGTTTTTATTGTTGACCCCCTTTATCTTGTGTTAAAGCAGGGCCGTATCTAGCGGAGGCACAGGGGGTACATTGCACTCCCTGAAGAATAAGGCGCCCCCACCCCATCCCAAAAAACAATTTTTTTTTGACAATCTTTCAATTATAAAATAATACACTTGATTATGATCACACAGTAATGCTCTTAAGGCACTGATCAGTCGATCGGTTTTAAGGGCGCCCACACCCCAATGGGTTCGTTTGCCCTGATCCAAACTTTCTTATATCACATACGTGGAGGCTATGGCGCCCCACCACCGTGCTGCACCCCCTCTTTTAAAATCCTACATACGGCCCTATGTTAAAGGAACATATTATGATATCACTTTGGAGAAAAATAAGTTCTAGTCATTGAGCCAAATTCTCAGGTTTCCTCCCAGTGCTAAATAGGCCTGAATTACAGTGCAGTAATTAATCACATGTTTATATTGTAGATGTAATGTTTATATTGTTTATATGGTAACTGTAATGTTTATATTGTAGATGTAATGTTTATATTGTAAATGTAATGTTTATATTGTAGGATTGTAGTCATGCCTTCTCTGACGATGAAATGTTAAAGAGGAAAGTCCAATCAATAATTGATTGTTTTTTGGAATCTGTTTATACACCCAGTTTACAGGTAATGGCAAACACAAATATTGTATTGTTTACATACATACATACATACATACATACATACATACATACATACACATAGATACATACATACATGAATCTAAAAGAGAGAAAGAGAGAGAGAGTTAAGGTACACTCGACACAAACTAGGTCATTTTGGGACTAACACATGGTTCAATTTTATTTCAATAATTCCCCTGTGTGTAGTTGTCTTTATCAGTTGGAAGGAAACCGGAGGACCAAGAAAAAACCCACGAGGATGGACAGAGGACCCTACTCCTTGTCACGTACAACCGGGGAACCGAAACCACGCCAGAGGTCAGTGGAGTAGAACAAAACGATACCACTGGGGATACCAAGAAAGCCTTCACCCCAACCCTAACGATTTAAATATTGCAAAATTAGTGGCCACCACACCAATGGTTATGATTCATTGATATTAATAACTTTTGGGCCAGTAGGCCAGTAGGCTTCATTTATGGACTGAAAATCTGGATTTGTTTCTTTATCTGGAATATTTGGATTTAAATTTGCATTTTGCAAAATCAGCGATCAACACGCTCATGGTTACGATACAACGATATTAATAACTTTTGGAGCAGTAGGATTTTTGGTAAGATGGCTTCGTTGATGGACTGAAATTCTGGATTTGCCTTTTCGTCTGGAATATTTGGATTCAAATTTGCATCTTTGAAAAATTGTATCCACAATGTATTTTTAAATGAGTTTTGATGACTTTATAGGTTGATGTACAAAATGATGTTCAGCAGAAAATAATGAAAAGTTCCCAGAGATATATGAATGGTAAAGAATTAAATCCATCAATATTTGACGAAGCTCAGATGATGGTGTTGAAAGAGTTATTGCCGTATTGGGCAGGTTTTAAAAAGAATTATAAACCACCAGATAATCCGGATAAAAAACCAGGTAGGATACGGGAAACAATTTGTTCTTGATTTAACCTGTATAAAAACCAGGTAAGATATGGGAAACAATGTATTCTTGATTTAACCTGTGTAAAACCCAGGTAGAATACAGGAAACAATTTGTTCTTGATTTAACCTGTGGAAAAACCAGGTAGGACACTAGTGACAGTTTGTGACAGGGGCTGGCTGGGTAGCTCTGGGCCCAACTTGTGTAAAAACCAGGTAGGACACTAGTGACAGTTCGTGACAGGGGTTGGTCTAGCTATAGGTAGCTCTGTGCCAACTGGTTTTCTTGGGGCCCACCATCCTGCTGAAGAATACCTGCCAGGTGTGACACGGATTACTGAGAACTTTGACGGTTCTGTCATCAGTTCTGTCAAAATGGCTGCCCAAACTAAATCCACCACCATAATTGTTTTCATCCGGGTAATGTGCATAGGGACTGACATTAACTTTTCTGTAAAGAGAGAGAGAAATGGGGTTTAACGTCCACTCGACACACTAGATCATTTCAGGACTAACATGGTTCAGTTATGTTTCAGTAATTCGCTTGGGCATTGGGGTCTTTAACAGTGGGAGGAAACCGGAGAACCCAGAAGAAAACCCACAAGGTTGGACAGACGACCCTAGTCCTTGTCACGTACAAGTGGGGAAACATAAAAACCCCACCAGTTGACTCAATTACAGACCTTCTGATCCAACGTGCACGCGTTAACCATTTAGCCACCCAACCTCCCCTTATGAAATTAGGATAAAATAATTTAAAAACTAATTGTCCACATTAAATAATGATTGGAATTTTTATTTTTTAACCAGTGACAAAGATTCAGAAGATGTTGAGGAAAAGATTGGAGAATATTGAAAATTATCAGATACCGTCTGCTAATCTGAAACTGCCTGCGATTCCTGAAGGTGCCACACCAGCATTCTCTCTATCTCTAGCAGATGGTATTAAATTCAGGGTATGTATACTGAAAGATCAGAAATGAAATGAAATGAAATGGGGTTTAACGTCCTACTGTTCTGCTCCGAACTGGGCTAAAGAAGACAGGCATACACCATACAGTGTGCTATGAGGGAAATTTTGCCCGGACAGTGGCACTACGGCCTACTCTATATCGAATTGCAACTGTCAAGGGATCTTTTACATGCATGCCAATGTGTACACGAGACCTCAGTTTTTTTTATCCCATCCTTATCAGGCCCTTTGTCCTGCATCACTGACAAGGAGGAACCTTGCCGGAAAATCTGGATGAACTTTCTCGGCTAATGCAGGGATCGAACACCCGATCTCCAGGCTAGCGAGTCAGCGTCTTACCCACTTAGCCACCGTGACCCCCTTTGAAAGATCAGGATTCTATAAAACATTTACAGAAAAGTCAACTAACCAGTTTACTCATATTGGTGTTTGGGGGTTGGATAGCCGAATGGTTAGCATGTGCCTGCTGTATCCTAAGGTCTGTCATTGAGTCAACTGGCGTGGTTTCTATTGCATGGTTGTACGTGACAAGGAGTAGGGTCACCTGTCCAACCTCTTGGGTTTTCTCTGGTTCCTCCGATTTCCTCCCACTGCAAAAGACCCCTACGCGCAAGCGAATTATTGAAATAAAATTGAACCATGTGTTAGTCCAGAAATGACCTAGTTTGTGTCAAGTGGCGTTAAACCCCATTTCTCTCTCTCATATTGGTGTTGGGAACCACGGTTGCTCAGTTAATAGGATGTTAGCTTGCTAACCTGAAGTTCCTGTATGCGATCCCTGTGTTCACTGAGAAAGTTCATCAGAATTTTCTGGTGGGTTCCCCCTTGTCAGACATTTAATGGAAAGTCAATAAACCAGTTTCTCATATTGGTGTGAAATGGCGGTTAGCGATAAGGAATTTGTACAATTTGCTACAGTCTGGGGAATGATTTTTTCCTAACATTTGAATAAATATTTTGGAATTTGCTAATAAAATCAAAAGAAGGTTCTGCTATAGTCTGGGAAATGATTTTTTCCTAATATGTGAATAAATATTTTGGAATTTACTAATAATTTCAGCCAACGGAATCTGATTTTGATAAGAGTCAATCCGTTTCTACGACTACAGATCGACCTGTGTCTGTATCGTCTAAGCGAACGGATGAAAGTCTGGTGGTAACATAAGATTAATTGGTGGGTGAGTCCAAATGTAGGGCTGCTCAATTAGGATGCTTGCGGCTGAATTAGACAACCCTATGATTAGTCATTTGGAAATGTTGCAATTGCTTGCCATTAGAACTCTGTATCTGAATTAGACAGCCCTATGATTAGTCAATCGGAAATGTTGCAAGTGCTTGCCATTAGAACAACTCTGTATCTGAAAAGATTACATGTAGTGATATACCTCCTTGCTAGTAGAATACTTTCTGGCATCCATTTTTATTAGCATAATTATCTTCACCTATATATTTGAAGTGTAGTTAAATTGCATGTCTGCTCCAACGAGGCTATGTTGCATTACCAACGAGGCTATGTTGCATTACCAACCAGTCTATGTTGCATTACCAACCAGGCTATGTTGCATTACCAACAAGGCTATGTATAATTACCAACCAGGCTATGTTGCATTACTAACCAGGCAATGTTGCATTACCAACCAGACTATGTTGCATTACCAACCAAGCTATGTTGCATTACCAACCAAGCTATGTTGCGTTACCAACCAGGCTATGTTGCATTACCAACCAGGCTATGTTGTATTACCAATCAGGCTATGTGTTGCATTACCAACCATTACCAAGCAGGCTATGTTGCATTACCAAGCAGGCTACGTTGATGTTGCATTACCAAGCAGTCTACGTTGCATTACCAAGCCAGCTATGTTGCATTACCAAACAGGCTATGTTGCATTACGAACCAGGCTATGTTATATTATCAACCAGGCTATGTTGCATTACCAACCAGGCTATGTTGCATTACCAACCAGGCTATATTGCATTACCATCCAATGTTGCATTACCAACGAGGCTATATGTTGCATTACCAACGAGGCTATGTTTTATTACCAACAAGGCTATGTTTTATTACCAACGAGGCTATGTTCATTACCAACGAGGCTATGTTGCATTACCAACGAGGCTATGTTGCATTACCAACCAGGCTATGTTGTGTTACCAAGCAGGCTATGTTGTATTACCAACCAGGCTATGTTGCATTACCAACCAGGCTATGTTGCCTCAAGATAGATAAATCACTGGAAAAAAAGATATTGTGTCAGCAAAGATCTAAATGATTCATGATGTTAATCAATAGTATATAAAACAAACTTAATCTAGGGTGGGGGACTCCACATACTCCCCGCGGTGTTTCGTTTGATTAGAGCTAATCCCACTAAACACTGCTTTAATGGAAGCAAATTTCTGTTCCAAATTATGACTGGTCAATAGTCCGATTAACAACCAATAGCTAACTGCATAACAATTTGATTACGCTTTAAACATGGCTCCACATTGGACCAAATATGTTTCCATAACGTTACGTCAGGACTCACGATTTTATTATGCCAAATTTACCAGTGCCTAGCAGAATATTGCAGACAAACTAATTGCGTGACAAACGAGGCTATCAACATTGATACAATACTGTATGGAGACGAACAAGACTTTCACCGTTTTTAATACCTTAAATCACTGTCCAAAGTTTTAGGGAAGACACCAGATTAAACGAAGGGCTTTCATGTTGCTGTACTTGGGATAGATTTGATTGAACAGGAAGAATAGACACACTCCCACAAAAGCTCAAGTATCAGAAGCCAATCCAGCAATGGGCAGAGAGGGATTTCTTGGGCCATTGCTTCAGGAATATGGAGACTCCAGTAGTTCTGTGTGTAAAGTGCTAGCTCACTTCCAAGAGGTCTTTTGTTAGATCTTGGTGTTGGCTGAGAATCTGTCGTGGTTTCTACCTGTCACTGGAGATGGAAGAGCCTTGTTGTTTATTTTGGGATCTGTGACTGCCTATACCCAGAACTCTTAAATTACGTTAAAGCTCTGATATTGCTCTGGTAGACCAAGATTATGATAGCTAGATGTTTAAATTAAATACAAGCTGAAACATTTACTGTCATTTAAAGAGATATTATGTAAACTATTAAACATACATTATGCAAGAGATAAATCTACCGATTGCAGGTATTTCTTTAGGCCTGAAATGTTATAAAAACTATTAATTAGACATTATTTAACTTATCCAGACCATAATCAACTCTAGATGGCGGCGCTAGCCCGCGATCTTAAGTGGATTATGAGCCAATTTACTGCATAACTTTCCTTCACGATTTAATGATTAAATGGATAATCGAGACTATGCTGTTTATCGTACTGACTTTAGTAATGTTGATAGAGACTAGGCGGAAATTTCAAACGCTTAATTCTCGGTTCATAGTGGATCAATTTGAATGAAATTTTTAGAAAATTACCTTTACATTATCTAGTTTTTAACTATAACAGTGAAAACTGCCAACTCGTTATCGAATCTCCCATAATGTATCTTTGAAGTTTGAATTATTAAGACCAGCATTAAAATGATATAAACTGCTTTATAGATAACATATTATGCAATCTGATTAAAACACAGATCTATATTTCGTTTCGGTTTTTATACTTCGATGGCCTCTACTACATGAAGATCTGACCAGTTGTAGTGGGAGGTCACGTCAGGGGTCATACGAGCAACTTTTGACCCTATGACATCAGACATTTGATTAATCAATCAGCGTTAATGTTTCTAGCAGGATACCCACAGTTCCATGCATCGCACTGACCATTTCATTGGCTAATCCCTCACATCAACTAGAACACGGGTTATATAACACTAAGTGTATCACTTAAAGAATGGATAATATTGATAATATAAAACAACACAGTCCTATATTATGATATAAACACAAGGTTTTAACAAAATTTCACTGGTAGTTTTATAGTATACAAAGTTTTAAAGGTTTTGACCTTATTGTCTTGTGGTTTTGGTCAGAGGTGCTCGTTTGAAAATATTAGATTTATGATGACTTGAGGTTGATAAACTGTCAGTTGAATGGAGGTAGTGTATTTCGTAACACAGGTAGGTCAGTTTTTCAAGTTAATGATAAACGTGGTTATTAAATAACAGAGAAGTAGTTATATCCATATATACCGTGTGTTGTGTTTTGTTATGAATAGTTAACCGTGTTTCTAGATATCATTTAAAGAATTGAAATAGGATCTGTGCTTTAATCAGATTGGGCATCATACACATTTTTCTGGCTAGCATACAGGTAGTTAATAGTTATATTTATGTATCTAGCTATATAGTAGTAGTTATATATATATCGTTTTAGTAATTATATATACATATCATTGGATACTGCACACGCACTGTCATTGAGTCAAGTAGCAGTGTTTGTCAGCTCTAAATATTAAGGCCACCTGCAGATTTCGTCAAGATGTAAATAGAGTTAGAGCATGTATTTGTTGACGAGATTGTGAATTAGGGCTAGGGTTGGGGTTAGCACTAGCCCTGTTTACATCTTGTGACCATGACGGAATCTGCAGATGGTCTTAATATTTAGACCTAACCGGCTGGGGTTTGGAGTTGGACTCGAGTTTGCAGATGACATGGAGTAGGTTTGTCTGTTCAAGTCTAAGGGTTTCTCCAAGGATGCCAAGTCCCGGTGTCGTTTCCTACCAATAATAAAAAAAAACCCATGTAGTTTGTGTCAAGCGGACATTACCCCCCCCCCCACTCTCTCTTTTTTTTACTGTCTGGTATACAAGTAGTAGTAAATATACATATTATTATTTCTATCTTTTAAATGCTACAAATAGACTGGATTATATTCTGGTAAGTCTGTCTACATATAATCAAGATGTAATTTAATGTCTCTTATAAATTCTAATATTTGTACTTAAAGTCATTGCTGATTTTTGTACATTTAATCTTGTGTATTTAGCACTAATTTCTTTCGCATTCATTCAATAAAAAAATTTTGTGTGCAGGGGACTATTAAAATGGGTCGGTCGGTCTGTCTCTGTCCGTCTGTCATACTTTTTGGGACACAATAAATCTGCTTTAAATTAAGCTAGAATGTTCAAACTTGGTGTAGGTGTTTATTAGGCGAATTCCTTGATGGAGTTCGAAGATGAGCATTTTCTGCTGAGGGTAAGCAGAGATAAGCAATTTGATTGGTTGATGCTTTGGGGCAAGATAACTTTAGTTCTGGTTAAGTGAGAGTGATAAGAAACTTGGTGTATAGTTTCATTACATCGATACCTTGACTAAGTTCGATAATGAGCATATTCTACTTAGGCTAAGGAGCGATAAGCAATTTGATTGGCGGACATTTTGGAACGTAAAGACTCTGCTTTTAATTGTTGGCTTGTTTGGGGGGTTGGATGGCTGAATGGTTAGCGTGCGCGCGCTGTATCATAAAGTCTGTCATTGAGTCGACTGGCGTGGTTTCGAATCCCGGGTTGTACGTGGCAAGGAGTAGGGTCGCCTGTCCAGCCTCGTGGGTTTTCTCCGGGTCCTCCGGTTTCCCCCCACTGCTAAAGACCCCTACGCGCAAGCGAATTATGTAAATAAAATTAAACCATATGTTAGTCCCGAAATGACCTAGTTTGTGTCGAGTGGACGTTAAACCCCATTTCTCTCTCTCTCTCTCTGTTTCAATCCTTCTATACTTCCCCTGGTCATTTAGTAATGATAGGATAGTGCCAGGTGATATGAGAGTAACACAAAGCAATCTGTAAAAAGTATTATGAATGTGGTCAAATCTCTGATATTTCAATCTCATTATTTCAGGAAATTGAAGAAGGAAGTATTATTGGAACTCCGATGCCAGCAGACAAAATGTTACGGGGACGACGTACATCGATAGCACCAAGTTTAGAGAGTACGCGGACCAATCGTAAACAAAGTAGTCAGGATACACATAGTACTAAATCTATGATCGCAGCGAGATAATCCTTTATGTAATGTCAAATAAACATTCAATCTTTATATTTTCCTGACAACATCTGAGAATTCTCATCCCTTCCTTAAGGAATAAAGTACATTGAATTTATACTATGAGTCAGGATGCACATATAGTTCTAAATCTATGATCACCAAATAAACATTAAAACTTTAATATCAACTTAAGTGTATTTTCCCTGGCAGCATTCCTTTCTCCTGGAACTAAGAACATCTGAGGAGCATAGAAGTTATTCTGCAAGTTATATATTATTCTGTGTGAAACTGATTTCAAAAACATGGAATAGAATAAAAACATTATTACCTTAGAGAAGTAATTAAAATTGAAGAGCCCAGGCGGAAGAACGTTGAAGGCAAAAGAGACTTTTGGACTAGAATGTTTGACGCGAACAGAACAACAAGTGGGTTTAATAACAACTTCAAAATGATGTTTAATACAAACCACAATTACCAGTACAACTGACGTCAACTTTTCAGGCAAATTAAGGTTAAATAAAGGGTACGATGGACTTGTATTTGTCCAGGAGGCCATTTCAGAAGGGCCTTGGTTCGATGTGACTCCGGTCGTTTTTACCTGAAACTTATTGTTCCACAGAAAGCTTATACAATTTGCTACCAGATGGCGCCATTAACTGGGGTTTGTTGAAAAAGTGACCTAGATCGTTCTTCCCTGGGGCTCTTCAATGATGTGATATGTGATTCAATTATTGAGTTCTAAGTTATTGGTGTCTGTTTCTAAAGAATCTGAACTAAAACTAATAAACTAATGTCCAAAAGAAAGTATTCACTGTGCATTTCATGCTGTATCAGCCAAAGTCGTTTTCCATTGTATGGGTAATTGAGTACAAGGTCAATTTGATTTGCTTAGAAATGTTGAGTTTGGACGCAAGAGACAAGCTCAGTAATGTTTTATCAAATGTTTTTAATCTAAAAAAAAACTTAGTCATATTTTTAGTGTGTAACATTTATTTTGGACATAAGTATATTTTTGGACATTGGACATTAGTATATTTTTGGACATTAATATATTTTGGAATATATTTGGACATTAGTATATTTTTGGACATTAGTATATTTTGGACATTAGTATAGTTTTGGACATTAGTATATTTTGGACATTAGTATATTTTTGAACATTAGTATATTTTGGACATTAGTATATTTTTGGACATAAGCATATTTTGGACATTAGTATAATTATGGACATTAGTATATTTTTGGACATTAGTATATTTTTGGACATTAGTATATTTTTGGTTGGACAGGTTGGAACATGAGACCCCGCCCCCAGAAATTATCGTTCTAAAAAAATAGAGTTGGTAGGATAACCATAAACACAGGTATTTTTATTTTGGGCCTAATTTATAAAGAAGTGTGCTAGTGTGTATCTGATGTATATTAATTGTGCTGTGAGTTGTACCTGTGATATTTTATATATTATTTGTGCTGTGAGTTGTACCTGTGATATTTTATATATTATTTGTGCTGTGAGCTGTATCTGTGATATTTTATATATTATGTAAACGTCTGTGATATGTAAAACAACAATTATAATAAATCTGTCTCCATATTTTAAATTAGTAGCCTACTGGTATATAAAAATAGGGTGGGGGTGGTCTAGTGGATTAAGGTGGGCGTGAAATCATAAAGTCAAGTGGCCTGGTGTTTGATTGTCGCTTGAATGTGACAAGGAGTAGGGTTGACTGTCCAACCTTGTGGGGTTTTCTTGGATCACGTGGCTTGCTCGCTAATCTAGAGGTCGGGTGTTTGATCCCTGCATTGGCGGAGAAAGTTCATCCAGATTTTCCGGCGTGGTTTCCCCTTGTCAGTGATGTAGGACGGAGGGCCTGACAAGGACAGCTGTCTAGTCGTTCGGATGGGACAAAAAAAAAACGAGGTCCTGTGTACTTATTGGCATGCACGTAAAAGATCCCTTGGCAGTTGGAATTCGATATAAGAGTAGGCCGTAGCGCCACTGCCTGGGCAAAATTTCCCTCATAACACACTGTATGGCGTATGCCCGTCTTCATTAGCCCAGTATAGGAGCAGAACAGTAGGATGTTAAACCCCATTTCATTTTATTTCATTTTATTTCATTTCTTGGGTCCTCTAGTTTCTCTCTGGTATATGAAAATTTATCTTTTTTCTCACACCAGAGAGAGAGAGAGAGAGAGAGAGAGATTGAGGTCCAATCACACAAACTATTGGTAATTCTGAGACTAACATATGGTTCAATTGTATTTCAATAATTCACATGCGCGTAGGGGTCTTTAGCAGTGGGAGGTAACCAGAGAACCCGGAGAAAACCCATGAGGTAGAAAATGCGACCCTAATATGCAACTTGTTATAGAGGTATAAGCAGTTATAGAGGTATAAGCATATAAAAAAGCTAGCTGACTATCATAAAAAAGGGGGGGGGGATGCATGGGCGTCACACATGTGGGGGGCGACCCCCGCCCCCCAATTGTTTTTCTGGGGGGGAGGGGGTCTGAATATACTTGGACCCCCCCCCCAAATTTACATAGTAGGCCCTAACTTCTATTTATTTACAACAATTATTAGGATTAGTTAAGATTCTATCTGTATAAAACCTGGGCCGTTATTCACGAAAACTTAAACTAAGATACAATCGAAATTTTAAGAAATACTGCAATTCGATTGGCTGACCAGTAAAATAAATTTGCATATATCCAATTTGGATATTAGTCAGCCAATCTAATTGCAATATTTCTTAAAATTTCGATTGTATCTTAGTTTAAGTTTTCGTGAATAAGGGCCCTGTACATATCACAATATGTTGGTGTGATGTTTTAGTTTAACCCCGTAAAATATGCTGAAACAGTGTTTACAGAAGACTCAAACTTTAAAAATATTTTATGGGGGTGGCCTGTATGGAGGAAAATCTGAATGAACTTTCTCGGCCAATGCGGGGATCGAACACCCGACCTCCAGACTAGGGAACCAGCGTCTTACCCACTTACCGATAGATTGTCGGGCATAAAATTTGTACATAAACAAGAAACACCAGGACATACTATAGAAAACATCATTTACAGTCAGTTTTTCAAAAGATATTTCGGGGGATCACGTGGCTAAGTGGGTAAGACGCTGGCTCGCTAGCCTGGAGGTCGGGTATTCGATCCCTGCATTGGCCGAGAAAGTTCATTCAGATTTTCCGGCGTGGTTTCCCCTTGTCAGTGATGCAGGATGGAGGGCCTGATGGGACGAAAAACCGAGGTCCCGTGTACAAATTGGCATGCACGTAAAAGATCCCTTGGCAGTTGGAATTCGATATAAGAGTAGGCCGTAGCGCCGCTGCCCGGGCAAAATTTCCCTCATAGCACACTGTATGGCGTATGCCCGTCTTCATTAGCCCAGGTTAGGAGCAGAACAGTAGGACGTTAAACCCCATTTCATTTCATTTCAAAAGATATTTCATGCCGAAAGGAGAGAACCCTCCGAGCCCCACCCCACCCCCACCTAGAGTGGAAGCACCTCGCGAAATTTTTCCCGGACAACGACGCTACAGCCTACACTTATATCGATTTCCAACTGCCAATGTGTACACGAGACCTCTGTTTTTTGCCCCATCCGAACGACTAGACAGCTGTCCTTGTCAGACCCTCCGTCCTGCACCACAGACAAGGGAATGTCACGCCGGAAAATTCCGATGAACTCTCTCCGCCAACACTGGGAGCAAAGCCGCGACTATCAGTAATGAACACTGTAAACAATTCATAAGACAGAAATGAACATGTTACTACCGGTCTATATGATACCAGAGACGGACCAATCCTTGCTCCGTGAGGTGTTTCGGCTCTATGAGGGTGGAAGGGGATGGGGGCATGCGGCGTCCTCTCCAAACAGGTGCAAAAGTTCTCTAGAGTATATCCTGTTGTTTCTAGCTTACGCACATATTTAACGTGCGGCAGTCTTTGAAATTTATCAAAAAACGACGTAAGTTCATAACTATAGAAGGGAAACCCAAACTATATGCGCAATAATATTAACATTACTCATCTTCAGCCCATCCCTGAAAACGTGTTGCAAATTTTCACATTAATTTAATTATCAGTAAAAATACGTCATATAAAATGATAAATCGTATATTATTGTACAGCTGCAAACGAAATTGTTTCCGTTCTGTCCAATAAACAAGTTATTGTTCGTTCGCCTAGAAAGATATGGTATATTATTTTACAGCTACAAACGAAACTGTTTCTGTTTTGTCCAATAAGCAATTTATTGTTAGTTCGCGCAGGAAGATATTATATATTATTTTGAAGCTATCAACGAAATTGTTTCCGTTTTATCCAATAAACCACTTATTGTTAGTTCGCGTAGAATGATATGGTATTGAAACGTGTTACAAATGTGCGTATTACATGTTCAGCCTAAAATTATTATAGAGAGAGAGAGAGAAATGGGGTTTAACGTCCACTCGACACAAACTAGGTCATTTCTGGACTAACATATGGTTTAAATTTTATTTACATAATACGCTTGCGCGTAGGGGTCTTTAGAAGTGGGAGGAAAGCGGAGGACCCGGAGAAAACCCACGAGGTTGAACAGGCGACGTTCTGCTCTTAGTAAGGATGAAATTATATCAAATCACAGATTTGTACTCATTTCAATTGGTACTCCGTGTGGAGATACCTATATAGATATGGATGGCCGAATGGTTTGCACGTACGCGCTGTATCATAAGGCCTGTCATTGCGTCATCTGGCGTGGTTTCGATTCCCCGGTTGTACGTGACAAGGAATAGGGTCGCCTGTCCAACCTCGTGGGTTTTCCCCGGGTCCTCCGTTTTCCTCCCACTGCTAAAGCCCCCTACGCGCAAGCGAATTATTGAAATAAAATTGAACCATATGTTAAACCCAAAATGACTTGGGTTGTGTCGAGTGGACGTTAAACCCCATTTCTCTCTCTCTCTCTCTTTCTTTTGTTTCTGTATTCTTACGCAGCCGATTATATACAGGCACTCGTAAAAGCAAATAAACGATTAGTCAGACGTTTTAATTTCTATCACTGAATAATTCTAAATTTAGTGATCATTTAAAATTCATGTAACCTGCAATCTGATTAAAATACAGATCTATATTTCGTTTCGATTTTTTATACTTTCGATAGCTCTCGCATAACGTATGTTTAACTGTATATTTTCATAAACGTATTATGCAGATAGATTATTATATGGAAGGCCCGCCTGGTTATAAAATAAGATTTTGTGTAAAATCGGTGTCCTGGAAACATCTGGAATTGATAACACAACGGCGGTCCTTGTCTGAACTAATATTACTATTAGGGTGCAAAATTGCACTTAAAAAGATCTGTTTGGATTTCTTAAATTTATTTTTGATCTCAAAACAGGATTCAGTAACCCTGAAAACTTTATTAGATATATATGTAAAATCAATATCCATATGGAAAGATGGCTAAGTGGGTAAGACGCTGGCTCGCCAGCCTGGAGGTCGGGTGTTCGATCCCTGCATTGGCCGAGAAAGTTCATCCAGATTTCCCGGTGTGGTTCCCCCTTGTCAGTGATACAGGACGGAGGGCCTGACACGGACAGCTGTCTAGTCCTTCGGATGAGACGAAAAAACGAGGTCCCGTGTATACATTGGAATGCACGTAAAAGATCCCTTGGCAGTTGGAATCCGATATAAGAGTAGGCCGTAGCGCCACTGCCCGGGCCAAATTTCCCTCATAGCACACTGTATGGCGTATGCCCATCTTCATTAGCCCTGTTTGGGAGCAGAACAGTAGGACGTTAAACCCCATTTCATTTCATATACATTATGCAAGATATTTTATATATTATGTAAACGTCTGTGATATGTAAAAAAACAATAATAATAAATCTGTCTCCATATTTTAAATTAGTACCCTACTGGTTTATAAAAATAGGGTGTGGGTGGGGGTGGTCTAGTGGATTAAGGTGGGCGTGAAATCATAAAGTCAAGTGGACTGGTGTTTGATTGTCGCTTGAATGTGACAAGGAGTAGGGTTGGCTGCCCAACCTTGTGGGGCTTTCTTGGATCACGTGGCTAAGTGGTTAAGACGCTGGCTCGCTAGCCTGGAAGTCGGGTGTTCGATCCCTGCATTGGCGGAGAAAGTTCATCCAGATTTTCCGGCGTTTTTTTCACCTTGTCAGTGATGTAGGACCGAGGGCCTGACAAGGACAGCTGTCTAGTCGTTCGGATTGGACGAAAAACCGAGGTCCCGTGTACACATTTGCGTACACGTAAAGGATCCCTTGACAGTTGGAATTCGATAAATGAGTAGGCCGTAGTGCCGCTGTCCGGGCAAAATTTTCATTGCGGAATTATTGTCCGAAGAAGTATTTTTTGCCCCCCCCCCCCTTACCAGTTTTAGGCTTTGAACCCCACCGTAGATACATACACTGTTGTCATCCTATAAAATGTTAGCTACAGTGTAGGATATTAATGTTTTACTAACGATCATCATGGATATTCACCTAAACCTCTAACTCAATATTATTCATAATATTGGAAAGAAAAAAAACCCACGAATTAGAATTCAATTTTGGTCCATTTCACCATTATAGTTATTG